TATTAAGGAATTCTATGTAATGCTGGGAACAATAGATGGCAAAGGAAGAAGGGGACGGCAGAGGTGGCTGGATGGAGTCCCTGAAGCAGTCGGCGTGAGCTTGGGTGGACTCTGGGGATGGTGGAGGACAGGAGGGCCTGGAGGAAGGTTGTCCATGGGGTCGCGATGGGTCGGGCACGACTTCGCGACTAACAACAACAACATGTAATTCAAAGAAATAAATGGAATTACAAAAAGAAAACTGGCACGCTCCGATAATTTAATCCGATGTTGCGGGTGCGTGCTGCTATGAAGTTTGGAACTTGCTGCCTAGACCCACGTTGACAGTTGTCAGCCCCAAATTTAAAGGGTTAGGATTAGCCCTGGGGAACGGAAACCTTGCACGCTTGGTACATCCATTGCATCGGCATCTCTGCCAACCAGTGTGATGTTTAACATACAAGTGACACGGATAAGACACGCGAGCTGCCTTCTGTCTACTAGAATGTTGCCCCAAACCAGTAAGAAGTGATAATCTAACTCCTTGTTCCAATGACATTCAAAATCCAGAATCCTGTGATTGGACAGGAGAAGGTACTACAGCTCCCAGCATCCCCGGCCAGCATAATTGCTGTGGCATCTGATATGGAAGGAGGCTCACCTGGCACCTAAGTTATGTTCGTTCTTGTGCCAGGTGAAAATTGTTCTGCTTTCCCAGGCATTTTAGTCTGTTCCTATTTTCAAATCTGTTTTGAAATCCGTGATTGCATTTTAATTCTTGCACTGCTGCTAGCTTTTAGATTGGTTTTCACTTCTGTTTTATAAAGTAGTGTTAAACTTTTGCAATTTTATAGTGCATCGAAGGCTGAATTTGAGGTTTTCAGTGTTTTGAACAGAGAGCTTCTTACAGGGGTATACCACCGAACAGTCAAAGCTTTCTGCATGTGCAAAATATAGCATTATATCTCTTCTTCATTATGACATTATAAATTACTATATAAGTACCACATAGGATATATGGTACTTAGAAAATGCTATACTAAATCAAACTCCATTTATATTATTAAAATATAATTCCCAGTGTAACTTTTCTGTGCTCTGAACTCAGTGATAAACTGATTTGTTTTAAAATTTTACTTTTCCTGGTTATTTCTTTTAAATTTCTATTGGGATGTAGCCTAAAATAAGTATATTATTTGCTACTGTTTACATTTTTGTTCAAACAGATTCTCAGCTTCTGGAAATAATTACACTCGATTGTTGAAAACAAACTTTGCTATTCCTGGTATGCTTGTAAAACTCTTCTTTTGCTTTGTTTATGCAAAACAAATTTTAGGGGGAGAAGTTTGGAGACAACTGGCCACAGGCCACTTTCCCCTAACACAAATACTGAACTTCAGCAAGAATACGTAGGCGTATTTTCAATTTTAATCTTCTTGCTGAAAGCAAAATATTAGTTTTCCTCTGCAGATATCAAAGACCGCACTTTGGGCCACAGGAGTCATAAACTGACTTTCTAGTTACACGCCTTCTTTTTCATTTGTTATTGCTAATGTTTTAAGAAATGACTGCCAGTGGGGGAGAAAATCTAGCAGCAGGGAGTTCCACAGCTCAACCACACCTGGCAGTGGGAAGATTTGCTTTACACACAAAATTCAATTTAATTTCAATTCAGTTTAGCAATTGCTCTAGGGCAGAGATTGCTAAAAAGAATCTTGACGCATTGTGGGGAAACAGTCTTTTACCACCAAAAATGTGTTCTCCTGTATACCACAAAAAGTAGGAACTTACTTTAAGGGGTGGGCATTTTTTCCAAGATCCCACAAACTGCAAGGTTACCATCTCGTGCTCACTCTCCAGCATTAGGCTCTTCCCTCCCCCTTTTAAAAACAGCCCCCACTAACTTGCCCAAAGCACTTTTCAAATTCATTTCCCCCAAAGTGGTTATTGGTTTAAACCGGGCCTGAAATGCTGCTCGGACGGATTATTTGCCTACTAGATTTATAGTGCGCCGTTTTTCTTACAAAGAACTCAAAGCGGGCGAGAGAATTCTCCTCTTGCTGCTCTCAATCATATCCCCAACAACTGCCCTGAGAGGTAGGCCGGGCTGAGTCTGCCTGGCCCAAACCATAGTCGAGTGGGGACTAGAGCCCAGTCCAGGCCTGTGCTCTAACCACTACACCACGCTGGCTCTCATGTTGGGCGTCTATAACCGGAAAGCAATGCGATCCCTTATATATACTACTCCAAAATCCAACCACTTTCACTCCTGTTTTTTTAAAATTACCATTGCTCAAACCACAAAGCACCCCTTCCCTTCAGCAAGTCCAGAGTGCAGTGCTTGGCCTTCCACTCCAGAATCTGAACAACAACCCTTTAAGGTAGGCCAGGCTGAGAGGTCCTGTCCTTGCCCTATCACCGCCCAGTCATGGCTAAAGAGGGACTTCATGGAAACTCTCCTGGCCCAGCCTTTCCCTACACAAACACAACCCCTTCGAGCACGGAAGCAACCTTTGGGAGCCTTCTGGTTGAGCTTTATCTGCTGCAGCTCATCCCTCCCACCGGCCCTGCGAGCAGCCACGGTGGCTGCTACGAGGGTCGCGGCCTTTTCGCAGTGGCCCCATATCTGTGTCTCACGTGCCCCATCGCTGCAGGTCTTCCGGAGGGTTTTAGAAGCCACCTGGCAAATGCATGGGAAGCCTCTTGGACGGTCACTGCTAATGGATTGCAAGATCTGCGTAAGCTGGAAATTCCAGCTCTGACGCACTGCTCGCCATCGGTTCTGCGTTGGAATTGTCCGTGTCCGTGTTTTCCTGGATTTCCAGAGAGGGTTTTCCAGGGCAGTTGGAGCCCTGGACTGGGGAGAGCCCGGTTCTAGTCCCCACTGGGGCAAGAAGCTCGCGGGGGGACGCTGGGCCAAGCCGAGGTTCCATCCAAGCTACCTCACAGGGTTGTTGTGAGGATAAAATGGAGCGGAGCGTGTCATCTTGAGTTCCTGGCAAGGGGAGAACAGGCGGGGAGAGCAGTAACAAAGATAATGAAAGCCACATTTAGGGGGATTCTTGTGTCATGCATGTGCACAAGTGTATTAAAAACTAAAAACTACATGCCGACAGCCTTGTGGTTCCAAACTGGGGATCACCTACTCTTCTGTCAATCTAGAAGGGTAGATAGGACCGGCTGTTTCTATACTGAATGTATAAACGGCCTTATAAAAATATCATGAAGCTCAGCACTACAAACATATATTCAGTATAATCCTGTAATACTCCTCTATTTCACTTTCCCACAGTGGTTCTGTGAGACATAACCTGAGGTTGAAATCTCTGATTAATTACCTAATTGGAGAGAGGCCAGGCTGTAGTCTTTCTTGGAGGGATTCATCTCTGTGGTGCGTGCCATGCCTTATGAAGAGGACAGTTCCCTGCCCCAAGAGGCTTACAATTCAAATTCGACACAGGGAGACGGAGGGGTGGGGGGGGAGAGGACAATTCAGCTCGGTATATGCGGGTTAGTTTCAAGCAGGAAATGTTGGGCGGAGGGTGCCAAGTGCACCCCTGACAAAGCCCATTCAGTTCTGGCCACAAGGCGCACAGCGAAAACCGCGTCGTTTGGCCCCAGGGCAAAAGGAAGCCATGTCGCCCGTTTGGATGACTGAACTCCAGCGGTAAACCCCTTTGCAAGATACTCACCCTTTCTGGCAACTTAGCACCGCCTCACCCAGCCAAACAAGTAGGCCTGCGGCATCCATCGTCCCCAGCCAGCATAGCCCATGGTCAGGGATGAGAGGAATTACAGTCCAAAACAACCGGAAGGCGCCCAGGTGCGGGAACGTAGCGGGACGCGAGGTGGAAGCCCTTCCCTCCCGTCCCAAAGTTAAAGGACAGAACGGCAAAAGATTTTCTGGCTCTGTCTGCCCAAAATAACCGCAAGTGCTCAGAGACCTCCAGAACGTAAAGCTGAGAATGACCCAGTGAGACAGAGAGGACACCGAAAGTAACTCAGATTATCAAGAGGAGGAAAGGAATATGTAATCACTTAGAGGCGTGTGCACACGCACGCTCCTCTTGCCTTCCCGTTGGTGTACGCACCCAAGAGTGTTCAAATAATTAAATATACCCCCTTCTTCCAGGTGAGCAGGTCTTATTTGTGAATCCATTTATTATATTTATATCCCAGCGAATTTCACCCACTGTGGAACTCATGGTGGCTACTCACGGTTCTTGGGGGGTCTTGCCATTTCTTCTCATTTCCCAACCAAAAGCCCCCTGCAAAGTTCAAATCAGATATGAGTGGGTTCTCACTGCTACGCATTACGCAGTTCTTCAGGGTCTGCCTTTTCTTGGACGTTCTCTGACCCTCTACTGCCGTTTGCTGGAACTGTGGAAGAAGCAAGCCACGCTCCACTCTACCCATTCAGTGGAAGGGCGGCTTGGCTCTGCGACCGCAGCCGGAACCTCCAAAACTGGAACCGCCCCTGCTTCTGGGCTTCCCCCATTTGGGCCTCTCTTTGGCCACTGGGGGAGCAGAAGGATGAGGGGGACACACCTTTCGTCGGATCAGGCGGGGTTGCTCTGGTGGAGAACCCTCTGGCTCTTCAGCGTTTCCTGTTCGTTCTAAGCACTGTCTTTTCAGTCGCCCAAAGGCCTGCCGCAAATTGTATGGGTTAAAAATGGGACCGCCCACCAACCTTTGCGATCTCAGTCACGGTGGGGTGGAGACCTTCTTTCTGCGCCTGAGCCAGACCCAGGCTCTGGGAAGCTCTTGGAATTGCACCCCCGTGGCAGGAGAGGTCAAAGGCAGAGTGACAGACCCAAGTGGACCATCGACAGTATAATCTGAATTTTACCACCAGCAGCTCGGCTTTAGGAAATGCATGCCGGCCTCTCAGAACAGGGGAAATCACGTGGAAGCTGGAAAAACGCCAGTTGGGAAAAGGGACCGGGCCAAGGGCCATCTGGGAAGCCCCGGAGCACCGTGGCAACATGGTCCCCAGCAGCTCAGAAAGCAGCTTATCCAAACGGGTTTTACGGTATTTATTTTCTCTGATCACAGCCATCCTATACAGTGGGTCTCTATGACTCCCTTTCCACACGTGCTGAATCGAGACCGAAGCAGGGAGCGACGTGCTGAAGGACTCCCAGTTCACTGGTTTCCCGTTCTTTGCAAGTGTGGCCATTTCACCCAAAGGTCGTCGTCTTCCCACCCACCATCCCTCTGGTTCTGCAAAACCCTTGGCAAAGCAACGTGTAAAGTGTAGGATTTTAAGAGTAAAAATTAAGAACACAACAGTAGGAGAAGACCAGGGAATACCTCTAACAAATGAAAGCTCTAGAATTCATGTATGCCTGCGGGAGGGAGGGAGGGAGGGAGGGAGAGAGAGAGAGAGAGAGAGAGAGAGAGATCTTAAAGGCATCCGAAAGAGTTCCTTCTTGTCACAAATGCAAAGTCCTTGTTTAAGCGCTGCCCCTAGACCGACCAGTTTTCAACAGGGTCCAGTTCAGACACACAGCTGAAATCCACCCCTGGGAGATCAAGCGCAGGTGTGCAACTGCGGGGAAGGCAGACTGCAGTCTTTCTGCAAGCGACTGCAAAAGGCCCTGGCTGGATCCGAGGGCTGGAACCGAGGGGAAGGAATACCCCGCTTTGGTCACTGCCCTGCAGTGCCTCCCGGAGAGCAAGGAGAGCCCACGCAGAGAGTGACAGCCACCGGCGCCCGGCTGCAGTGGGTGCAGCCCTGGCTCAGTCGCCTGCTCCACAGCAAAAATCTCCCGAAGCAAGAACAAGTGGCCAGACACAGAAATCCTTCCAATTCCTGTCCGGGACGCAGGAGCCAGAGGCTGGGAGGAGCCGCGCATCCGAAGGGCAGATTGATTAGAGGGAGTCTGGTAGGAAGGACCTGGGTCTGGCTGGACTCATCTTGGATGCTGGCAGAGGGAAAGAGGGAGCTTACACGCGGGTCCAGCATCACTCCTTCTTATGCCCTTCCAGGTTTTCCAGTCGTCTAACCCCCGTGAAGTGTTGAGATGAAGACCACATTATCTTGGTCTTGGAGCTGATAATCCAGTTCCCCCTGAAGGAAGGAAAAGAAAGCAAAATAAGTCTGTGTGGGGAAATTTCTCTGCCAAGTCCCACACGAGACAGAGGGAGAGAGAGAGAGAGAGAGAGAGAGAGAGCGCTCCATTCCCCCAGTACCAGTCACAGAATCATAGAATATTAGAGCTGGAAGGGGCCAAGAAGGTCATGGGATCCAACCTCCAGCTGTTGCAGGACCCCAGTTTACGCCATCCCAGGCAGGTGGCTCCCAGTCTTTTTGTGGCCAGACAACTCCACATTAGCAATGGAAGTGTCTTCAGCTTGGAGAGGGGATAAAGGTGGGGGCCAGGAGGACCGAAGAAATGAAGGAATGGGGAAAGGAGGCAGAAGGGGCCTGACTGAGTGAGCAGGTCCCTCTATCAAGGAATGTTAGTTGACTGCTGGGAGAATAAAGCAGAAAACTAACGGGTGAGGGAACAGAACGGAGCACCCTGGTGAAAGACCGCAAGGTGCTCGCTCGGTATATGCCACCTTCCACCATTACTTCCCAGCTTCCGGTTTTGCCACCATTTCCCCATTCCACGAAGCTCGGAAGAGACCAATTTCAGTGAAAGAATTCGCAACGGGGTGGCCAAGAGCGGCACGAAAAATGGGCAAGCCTGAAAGGGCAGGAATGTGACGAACCAGCAGCTCCCAGTCGGCGTCGTTGATCAGCACCAGGATTCCAGGCCGCCTGCGAGAAAAGGGAGAGGCGTTAACGGGATCGGGTAGGAGGCCGAGGACGAGATTGCAGGGGGGCTGGGAAGAGGCCATCTGGGATTGAGCACAATCCAGAACTGATTCCCACATGCACGCACGCACCCCTGCAGGTCACCCACTTCCGTAGGTCTGTGGCCGGAAGGGAATGCTTTAGATGCTCAGGCCTTTCGCTCCACAGCTTGGCCAGTGCTCAGGAAAACTGGGAGCTGAAGCCCCAACCATCTACTACCAAATTATTCTGACTGCCGAAGGCTTTTCTCCTAACATTCAACCAAAAACTACCTTCCTGTAACCTAACGGCATGCGCTGGGACGCTCCCCTTCATGGATTGCGAAGGGGCTCAACCCCAAACACAGACTTCAGAACCAAGAGGACTAGCAGCTCTGTTTTTAACACGACTGCAGAGATCAAGGGTGCCGAAATTGGCAGCGTACAAATGCTGCCTATACAGCCCTCCACACATGTTCCACACATGTTGCCATGTGGAAAGCTCTTGCTCCAGTTCCTTCTGCCACTGGCTTCCCCTCCTTCCAGTCTAACGGCCAGCCAGCGTTAAGGGGTCACTCAGCCACGCAAGACCTCCATATATTTATTTATGCGTGCGTTTATAGGCTGCCTGGAACCGCTGAGGCCGTCCTAGGCAGCTTACAGTATGTCAACATATTAAAACAAAACACGTTAAAAACCTATGAAAACACCATGAATTAAAGCATCTATAAAAGCAATATAAAAAGGGCCGCAGCTTTCCAGGACGCTCCTGAGCCGTTGGCAGCTTCTCTGAAGAATACACAGGAGGGACTAGAGGATGGAGTGCCCAAATCGATCCCGGAAGGTCCTCAGGTCAAGCCTCCGCCAGGAAATGCCCGCCCTCTCCCCCTAGCCTACCTCACAGGGATGCTGTGAAGGCAAGGAAGGGGAGAAGACAGAACCGTCTAACCTGACTCCTTTGGTAAAAATGCATGCTCCAAATGCAAGCGCCAGCTACGTGAATAGAGCCAGCCAGGAGAGGATTTAAAGGGGGGAGGGGTCCAGCTCGGGGGTAGAACCCCCTGCTGCGTCTGCCCCTGGTCCAAGGTCAGAATTCCAGCACCTCCAGTTAAGGCTGCGGGACTGCTGCAGGGCAAGATGGCCCAAGCATCCTACTTGAAGGAAAGCCAGATCCCAACACACCCGAGTCTCACAAGCGGAGCGCAGGCACGCTGGCTCACCCGAGCCCCGCATTCTCCCCGCTTAATGGCTGCAAAACGGCCCGGATTGCCTCCAAGCCTCAGATCAGAGGCAGAGGGAATCCCCGGCTTTGATCGCTGGCAGAGTCCTGCGATCGCCTCTCCCGCAGCCAGGAGACCTGGCACGCACTCCAGCGCACGCAGAGCGGGGACGGCCGTTCAGCACGCCGCCCCCGCCCTGCTGCAGAGGAGGGCTCTGGGATTCCGAAAGATGAAAGGGCTTAAAAAAGCAAAGCAGAACGGGAAGACCATTTCCAAGGCGGCTCTGCAAGGAAGCAGTTCCGAGACAAGATGAGTCAGGATAAAGTCAGGCAGGCAGGCCAGCCGCCTCTGCGTGGAAAAAGGAGGCAGAAGGCTGCCGGCAAAAGAGTCTCGTGTGTGTGCAAGCGAGACAAAGGTCCATCCAATTTTGTGTGTGTGTGTGTGGTTGCAAGAAAGGGGGGGGGAGAGAAGGCAGGTTCTCCCTCTGCTCATACTAGAAGCCGGGGGTTGCCAGATGAAATCGGAGCACCGGGGGTGCCGTGTGCAGACAGCCACCGCAAGACGCACGCAGGGAACTCTCCACCTCAAGACTTGGCGACACACAGGGCTTCGCTGGCTTGTGGGAGGGACCCGTGCTGCAGCACTCGGCCTCGGGACCTGGGGTGAGGCCCCACGGCATGCAGTGTCTAGGGCTGTGCTGGAAGACGTTTTCCCGGAGGAGGGGGTTTGCCGAGGGCCCCTCGACGGATTTTCGGCGTGCAGGCGCGGCAGCTGTGCGGTGGGGGCGGGCGACGGCGGGAGAAGCCTGGCTGGACGGACCCAGAACCGAACGCAATCGGGGCATCCGTGGGACTTACACGGAATCGCCTTGCACAAACAATTCCGGCCTCTCTTTCAACAGGTTCTCTTTAATCCACACCAACAAGTGGCGGACGTCCCCTAAAAGAAGAAGAAGAAGAAGGGGATGAGCGTGGTGGCGGGGGGAGGAAAAGCAGATTCAGCTTTCCTCCTGCCATTCCATTCCCAGGCATATAAAGGCTCCAACCGAGGAGCAAAGGTGGAGAGCTGGAAGGTCTGTCTGGAAGGTCGCTCTGAGCACAAACATCATTATTTGTTTCCGTATTTATAAGCCGCCATCCATCAAATGATATCGGGGTGCTGAACCACCCGTACGTGATAGAAAACAATCAGACTGCAATGGTGAAACGGTGAAAGGTGGCGGGTGGGGGAGGGCTGGCTGGCTGGCTGGCTTAATCAGAAATCTCTGGATGTGTCGCCAGAAGAGGTGCATGAAGGTCACCAGGCCCACGGCTGCAGGAGGGCTTTCTGCAAAGAGGGGACCCTAACACAGACATGCCCAAATTCTGGACTGTTTAATTCACTCGTCTTCTGCCTACCCCCTCCCTTTCTTTCCAAAGCTACAGTGCTATGACCGAGCAGTCAGTGTTCGTGTTTTGGGGGCGGCTGTTAGCCTTCCAGGTTCTCGCCAGCCGTCTCCTTAACCTGGTGAAACAACCCATGGTGCTGGGTGCACAGATAAGGGCAACCCGTACCCAAAATAATCCGGAGTTCGTGGATTCTCTCTCTGGACAGTTTTGTGGTTAACCCATAGTTCCTGGGTTCACGTGGAATTCAACAATCAATCCGGACTCATGCAGCCCAGTGAACAGGTAGTTACAATCACACTGTTTTCCCCCGTAAATGTTTCACAGTAAGGCTTCATTGGTTCCCATCATCTTTTCTCAATGCAGAAGCTCACGACTTTCAACTAAGCTGACTTTCACCCTAGGAATTCTGTGTCCTATGCAGCCACCTGAACCATCCCTCCCACAGCCACCTTCTCCAGACTTAAATTTATCCCCCAATTTCTCACAGACATTTCTAAAAAAAGACGATGACCATTCAAGAGGTGTCCCAGCCACATGACAACAGAAATCAGCCAAAAGCAGCCAAGCATTTGTCAGACTCAAGGCACAATCGGAACAGCCGTTCCATGAACTTTTGTGGGGGGGGGGGTTGCACAGCTCTTTATTTTATTTGCACTTATTTCTAAATGTGCAAACAAGAGGACTTAAATAGGGACGCTTTCCAGAAGGAATCCAGAAGTCCAGCCACTGCTAAAAGTTTTCTCAGACCCTGTCAAACCCCTGGAAAGAGAGGAAAAGCTTTAAGCTGGTACTAAGAGGAGGGCGCAGTTGGTGCCTGATGGACCTCCCAGGGGCAAGAATTTTGTAACGGGGGAAGCGCTGCGGCTGAGCCGTCCCTCTTCCAAGTGGCCATCCCTCAAACCTTCCTTGGAGGAGGCAGTTGGGGAACCTGAGATGACAGGTGTCATGCGGAGACAGGCACCCCACCGTGTGCCCGGGGGCCCCTGGCACGGTGCTTCCATCAGAGGGCGACTCCGGGAGGAGAGAAAGGGCAGGTGAGGGAGGATTCAGCATCCCTGCGGCCGCTGTGCCTCTGCTCAGCGCTCCCACACACAACACACGCAGGTCTGGACACGCGTTCGCCATCGATGACCTGGCTGGGGAGGAAAGTGGTAGGCACGGCGCCCTCCCTTCTCACACACCGCTCCTCCCGGGGGAATCACACCTCTGCCATGCCGTCGCTTTGCCAAAGGCAAGTGCCGGCTGAGAATCCCAACGGCCAGCCAGCGGGAACAGGCACCGCCCGGCCCTGCAGCTTTCGCTCCCGCCAAGGCTGGGGTCAGAGCGACTTCCGTCCTGCTCAGGTGTGGTCCAGTCAAACTACCTGGTTGCTTATTTTCTGAATAGCCAAGAAGTGGCCACTTGCCTTTAGCCTCTTCCTTATGGAAGCCCATCCCTTATTTATTTATTTTTCGATTTATGTCCCACCTTTTTCCTACAAAGGGCTCAAGGCAGCTTACATCATTCTCCTCCTCCATCTAATCCCAACAACAACCCTGTGAGGTAGGTTGGGCTGAGAGTCTGTGCCTGGCCCAAAGTCACCCAGTTGGCTCCATGGCCGAGTGGGGACTAGAACCCAGACCGTCTGAGTCCCACTCCCATGCCTTTAACCACTACACCACACTGCCTCTCTTATCTTGCTGTTCAGATTGACACGGAAGATGCGGATTGCCTGAGCTGGGAAAATTATGGGGGTGGGGAGAAGAGGATGCGTTTTTTTAAGAGCATCCATTTGACTGAGAGCACCAAAGACAATTTCTGTGGATGGTGATAACATCAGTTCATTTCCTTCTGGAGAGGTTGAAGCACCACGGGGGAGGGGGAAAAATAATTTTGTTAAAGGATTTTAAGATGGTGACAACTTCCTAATGGGGAGCTGCTGTACTTAGACTAGGCATCAGCTGTTTGTATTTCTTTGTTCCCAAAGTCCTGTGCTCCTTCGGTAATAAACCGTGTAGCAACTAGCAGAAATGGGAATAAAACACATAAGATTTCTCCAGGGCTCTCGGGTGCCTCCAAACAGGCTGCATGAATTATATTGCAGCCTATATGCTCACCCCGTAGGATATATTAGTTATGTTTTCCCCATTTTGAAGGTTTGTCAGGAGGCCACTGAACCTGAGTGGCAGAGATCCATTTCAAATGCGGAACCTCCCAACTTCGAGGCCGGCTGGGAAAGAGCCCTGCGGAGCTGCTGGTCCAGGCAAGCCGATGGTTCGACCGAGCATACAGCCATCTCCTGAGACCTACCACTCAAGAAGCAAAATGGTGTCGTGGTGAAGAGCGTGGGACTGGGACTCAGATGATCTGGGTTCGAGTCCCCGCTCAGCCATGGAGCCAACTGGGTGACTTTGGGCCAGTCACAGACTCTCAGCCCAACCTACCTCACAGGGTTGTTGTTGTGGGGGTAAGATGGAGGAGGAGAATGATGTAAGCTGCCTTGAGCCCTTTGTAGGAAAAAGGCAGGATATAAACGGAAAAAATAAAAATAAAATGGGCCAGCCCCAGGTAGGGCAATGCAGGACACCCCAGGTATACAGAAGGAGCTGCACCTGCAAATTGAAAGGGAATGACATTTAGAGAGAACTGGCAGTAGGGGCTAAAAGCAACCTAAGCGGGGTGGGAGGGGTGGGGGGCAGCTACAGCAGTCTTCCTCACTCTGGTGATGTGTTAGACCCCAGCCCCATAATGAATTTTGCTGACTCAAGCAACTGGGATTCTAGTCCCCACTCAGCCATGGCACCAACTGGGTGACCTTGGGCCAGCCACGGGCTCTCAGCCCAACCTACCTCACAGGGTTGTTGTTGTGGGGATAAGACTGAGAGGAGGAGAATGCTGTGAGCTGCCTCGCGTTCCTTGAAAAGTGGGATATCAATATAATGAATGCGCTTCGCCCAAAATCGCAGGGCACCTCCTGCTGGCACAAGCCGCACTCCCCGGTGGGCGGACGCTGGCCATCAACCCAGCCTGGGGTTCAGCCCGCAGCAGGGTGCCGCTGGCTGCTTTCGAGCAGCCCTGCTTGGTAGGGCAGACTGCCCCCCCACCCCCGAAACCGCTGTCCAGGCCTGGATGCAGGGAAGCGTGTGGCCAGAAGCGGAGAAAGGTGAGGCACTTCGGGAAGGCTGGGAAGGAAGGCGCAAACGGGCCGCCAGGCACCTCAAAACGGAACGCGGGTGATGAAGACGTCCGCCCGGCCCGTCTCCAAGGCGTCGGCGCAGCAACCGCGCGGCCGGCCGGCCCCTGCGCCGCCACTCAGACACCCCCCCGCGGGGGGGCTTCCCTTTGACCCGGCCCTCCCCCCTCCCCCCGCCACGTCCTCCCGCCTGAGAGAATGAGATCATTTATCATGTTGACCACGGCCAAGCTCCAATTTGCTGAGGTCACTAACTCCGGCCAAGCGCCACCCCGCCTGCATTCTCAGCCGCCGGCCCGCGGTCGGGACAAAGCCCCCAGCTGTGCCCCCGCCCCGGACCGAGCCTCGTCCTTTATTCCCGGAGGTACGGCAGGGAAGGGCATCTGCAACCTCCATGCTTGTTCTCCAAAGACGGGCCGGGGGGGGGGGACCCAGGGAGCCTCCCCTACACCCAGGGCTGCTGGGAGCCCCGCAGAGGGGGCTGGCGGACCGGCCGAAGCAGCCCCTCGCCGCCAGAAGCAGAAGGACCAGGGCTGGTATGGGTGCCTGCGTGAGCTCTGGAGAGCATCCTCTTCCGACTCACCCACCCGGGCCTCTCAAGATGGGCAGGCGAAGCTCTGGGAGACAGGAGCTTCCCCGCCAAGCACGAGCCGGTCCTTCGAGCGGGCCATTCCTCCCAGGATGTTCACAAGCAAGGGAGGCCAAAGAAAAGCCCAGGTTGGGGCTGGGAGCCCAGGTCCAACTGCAATCCTGCATACCGATCGACCCCTGGGGGGAAAGCCAAGCCCACCCCTCCCCTGCTGCCCTCCCGGGAGCCGTACTTTGGCACCTGTTCCACTTCTGGGGACAATACCTGAGCATTATGTTAATCCGATGCCATCCTCCGAGAATTCCTAGCCGCTGCCCTTTCTCCTCACTCCTCCTAGAAGATCGCAAGCGCAGGTGCAGAGTCCCTTTGGCAGCACCTGGCACCACCCCAGCGGCCTCCGCAAAAACCACGAGGGGCAGAAATGACCTGCCGCCAGACGAGGGGGATCATCCACTGACCTGCAGGCGAGCCCCAGTGAAGCTTGCCCTGGAGAATTCCTGCTTTCGTCCTACGTTTCCTTCGTGCAGGTCCCGGCAGCCCCCAGTCCTCCACGCGAGCGCTGAGTAGATGCCTGTCCAGACCCAGCCGCCCCCGAAAGGGAATCCCCAGATGCCGTGGGACTACAATTCCCATTACCCCAACAAGTTGGTCAGGCTAGCTGAGTACGAGGGGAGTGACACCCCAAAGCATCTGCTTTCTAGTCTCTGCGCCACACTGGTTCCGGCACAAGCGTATAGCCAGAACCAACGAGTTAAAGAAAGCTTTATTGATTTATCACGGGAGTGGGGCTGGTTTTTTTTAAATAAAAATATTATCAGTAAATGAAACCAGCATATAAGGATGTAGGAAAGGGAACACCAGGATTCATGGCTTCGTTCCTAATTGCTCAGAATTCAGAATTATCCTTTTCACAGATGATTTGCTACCATTTATTTTGCAACTCCAGGTGTCCATTCTTTGATGCAGTTGATTAATGCTTTGGGTAAACTGTGTGGTTATTCAATCAACTGATCCAAGTCTGAACTGATGCCCAGTTAGAAACAGTATGTCAGGGAGTGTATTGGCCAACTGGCAATTTCAATGCTGCTCGGAGTCTATTACTTACTTGGGAATACTCACTGCCTGAACTCTTTTGCAGATGGTAATGCTAAATGTGTATAAACGGGCTAAAGAGACAGCACCGAACACAGGCAGATGGAGCGCCTTAAATTTAACCTTGTGGGGGAAGGTGGATACACCAAGGATGGATATCGCACCTGAGCCTGTTCACGAGTTATGTGGGATTCCCTTATATAGCCCTGGCAAATATTTGTTTTCCTTCATTATTTTATTTATTTTAAACATGTCTATGCTGCCCAGTTCTGCCACAGCACCTCTGGGCAGCTCACAACCACAACTTAACTCCCCATTTTAGAATCCCGCCCCCCGATATGCCTCCCTCCACCACGAATATTTTTAAAAAGGATGCAGCTTTCTTTCTAGAACTTCTACACTTATCACTGGGCCTATTTGCTGACTACCAGGTTTCCATGCAGATTAGATTTTCCACCATGGCCAGTTTTGGAATTGTTCAAGTGAAAGAAGGAATGAGGCGCTGGGCGCATTAAAATGGCTAGGGCTCCAATATCAGATCAATAATTGACCTTATGGCTTTGATTTCAGTAAATAAATACCTCAGGTCTAACAGAGAAATGGAACAGGGAATTGGAAAACCCTGTTCAGTCCAAGCCGTTTAGAAGTTACTTCTGAAGGTTCAGTAGACCACGGGGTAAGTCTTATTGAAGGAAAATGAGTTCTACATTTACTAGATGCTGCAATGCCTTATTAGTAAGGGCTTGTTTAAATTGACAAAGGTGTAATCCTATTTTTAATCATATGTTTTGAACGAGCCCGCTAGTTGTCTCTCCCGGGGTGGAAGTGAGAAAACAGACAAACCTTGCATTCAAAGTCTCTTCAATACGTTCTGATGTGCATGGTTTTTTTAAATAATCCACCCATTTCTGGGAAGTTAAAGCCTGGACAATGCAAAATTGGCTGTCCCTTTTGATAACTAAGACCGACACTGCAACACTGGAAAGATAAAAGCTCACCTCCCCAGCACAATAGATGAAGGACTTGACAATGCCTTCCATATTTGGATGGATGACTTTCAGATGCCTCTCGGAAACTGACTTATCTAGGGATATTTGCGCCTTAGGAGCAATGGTTAATTTCAGGATCTTTTTAACGCTTTTGTTTTATTTCGCTCTTGTTTTGTTTAGGCCAAACCCAGAATAAGGAATATTCTCTGCAATCAAAGAGGCATGGAGAGAGAGCAACGGAGGAATGTCTCTTCTCACCTGCTGCCCAGATTTGTCGCTATATAATGAAAAGCAGTAATTAAAGCACCTGCTACCCAACTGGAAACACGGCGCGTAAAAAAAAAAGATCTTGGCTGCAATCTGAAGCATTATTTTAGGACGCCAAAATGCTGCTGCTGGTGCGGACACGGTTCCGGGAGGGCTCGCTTTGGAGCAGCTGGCTGGTCTGGGGGCGCCCCTCTGCAGCCGCCTGCCCCAGAGCCGCGCCATCTTCCAGGAGCGATCCAGCACAGCCCACTGACCCAAACGGCTTGTCCTCAAGCCACCCTCACCGCAGTGTCGGCACACATCTCGGTTTCACTTGAAAGGGGAAGTTGGCGGAAAGGCCGGCCGGAGGATTGCTGGGGTGGGGAGAGGCGCTGGGGATTTACAAGTGAAAGGAGTTAAGAATGGAGCAGTTTGTGGGATAAAGGGTCCGCAGAAGGGGCTTTACAGATGTGGAGAGGGTATGGGGGGCTCATTGTTTAATTAAGCAGAAAGTGGCTCTTTTGAAAAGCAATTTTGCACAGGAGCAGTGGGGCTCAGCAAACAGTCCCTGCGAGGGGCGGGAGGGTGGGAGAGGAGAAAGGAACAGCTGGCATGGAGCAGCCCGGTGAAGAACCGTGTGAACCGAATGCTGAACAGTTTAAAGGCCTGCGGACCTCCTGCATCCCCCTCCCCTTCCCATCTATCTCCCCTCCCCCACGCACTCCGCTGGTGCCACCGCCACCGCCGCGCTGAAGCGTCCAGAGAGCTCCTTCGGCCTCTTGCGCCCCGGCACCTTCTTCCTTGCTGTCTTCCCTGTCCTTCCAGGCTGTCTGCTCACACCTGCAGGTGTGGGTTCCCATCCACACCACAAGCCCTCCTCTTCATTCCAGCAGCTTGCCCAGAATGAGAGCCCTGCTTCTGGGGGGGGGGGGGGGGCCGCAGACCCTGCCACCCCCCTCCCCTCCCCTCCCCTCCCCGGCCTGTGCAGCAGGGCTGCCCCTCACCCCCTCGCTGGGAGCGGGAGCAGGCAAGACAATCTGTCTCCGGCCCTCTCTGCCTTGTGCGGCCTCTGATAGTCCTGGAGTCACCGGCCAAAATGACCCTGCAGAAAAGGCTAGGATGGAAAGTCAGCGCGGCTGCTACGGGCGGGGTGGCGGGTCTGTCGGGGAAGGGGAGCGTGTTGCTCGGGCGGGAGAGCTCACAGGAGAGCAGGAAACCGTGGCCGGCCGAGCCAGACCCATGGCCCATCCAGACTCTGGCGGGCAGCAAAGGCTGTCCAGGGTTCCGGGTGGGAACTGCTGAGCAATCCCTCACGCCTCTGCAGAAATGGGCGGTCGCTATCCCACCCTCGTTCTTCACAAGGGGCCTTCGGGCCTGTTCCCCACCGACACCCAGACTCTTCCTCCCTGTGCAGCCAGCCCTGCGGGGCCAGGGAAGCAAAAAGGAGGAACCTTCCCAATGGTGCAAGCTCCTCCCGCAGTGGAACCCGTGCTGCTCGTCTGCAGAAGGATGCCCATGCTGGCGTTCCTGCCTCTCATGGCTGAGGCTTTCGCCATAGGCATCTTGGTCTACCGTCGCGCCCTGAGCCGGCTTCTACAGAGCAAAGCAAGCAGGGCATTGCCACTCCACCAGCTTGCCCAGAACTTGTCTAGCCTAGCCTACCTCACAGGACTATTGCAAAGACACAGTGGAAGGCAGCAGCTGCTTTGGGTTCCTTTCGGGAAAAAGGCCGAATATACATTTGATAAAGAGACAAGGCACCAGGTTCTCCACACACAGAAGGTTCCAAGACCAAGCCCGGGCATCTCCAGCCAGAAAGGTGGTAACAGGTGATGCAAATAACCTTCTCCCAGCTTCCTGGATGTGTTTCACTGCAATTCCCATCATGCTTGTTTCATCTTGCACCTGGGCCCATTAACCTAGGGCAGGGCAGGGCGGGGCAAGGGGAGAGACAGGTACATGGCCCAAGCTTTAGCGTACTCACAAGGTTCGTGCTGGCTGGGCAAAGTGACCCGATGCTTTCTCTTCCCGTCGAACAGGAGCTCTGCTCCCCCTCTGAAACACAAAGCAAAAACCCCATTCTGCAAGACGCGTCACGGAAGCACGGAAACGTTTCAAGGCCGCAAGGACGGAAAAGGCTCGGCCCGCCCCCGTCCCTTGCTGGGATCAGCCTGCGTCCCGTGCGCAGCAGCATCTGCCCTTGGAGAACGGCGATCCCCTTTCCTAGCCACCGTTCCGTGTTATACCCATTAATGGGGAGCACGGCACCTGGCAGAGGAGAGAAGGCAGGTTTTCCACACCGCTGCCAAGCCCCCTTCATGGTAATGATTCCGACATTATAGGAAAACGCGGCTGACCTGGGGAAGGGCTCTCTGCTGTCTGTTCTTTGATTCCATACTCCTGATTCCATTTTGACGGATTTGCTTTATATTCCCAGACGCCTTGTGCCCCCTCACAGATTCAGAAGGCAGGAAGTAAGTGTATTAAATCAAACAAACAAGGCCTTTTTGCTCAGATCTTCTATCTGTCCATGTTCTACTTTCCTCCATCTACATTTCTGACATGAATACCAAAACCAAGCAAAGGCGCTCTTCCAAAGGTGCCCAAATTAGCAGAAGACGTGGTGGGAACTTCTATATTAATTTTTTCCCATTCATGACATCTCTCTAACATCCTAGTGCAGAGGCTCCCTCGGTGGGTTAGGGAGAAAACCCACTTTAAAAATGCAAGTTTAAAAATATTTAGATGCAGATACGAACATGAGACAGAGAGGTATCTAAAAACACATTTAAACATAAACGTTCAGTGAGGGGAAAATTCAAGACCTGATCAAAACCTCATTGTTTGTTGCCAAATGCCTGAGTGAAGAACACATCAGCTCCTTGCCAAAAAGGTAACAGTTACGTTGACACCAGCTGACCTCATGGGGAGGTCATTTCCCCGGTGGAGGGCCACCACAGAGGAGGCCCCTAATAAAAGCAAAAATATTATTTTCTCCCGATCACCTCCCACGGAAAGATTTTCTCAGGCGATTCTGCGACAACCCTTCCCCTCCAGCGGACGTTCTCTTGCTCCCAAAGCGCTTGTCTCTCAGGCACAAGTGGAAAGCGCATTGATCCGAGCCACCTCTGGGTCTACCGGCAAGCGTACGAATGCATGGCATTTGTAGGGCTTTTCGGGCGGGGTGAGCTCCCTACCTCTCCATGGTTCTCAGTCCTTTTCTTGTCATTGGTAATGTATTTTTTAACTTTAGAGTCGGCTTGTGTGTGATGCTGGATTTATGAAATGTATTCGGTACCCTAGATTCTTTGTGAGGAATGGCAGGATATGAAGACGGCACGTCAACGCGATCAGTTAGCAAGACGGCTCAAAGAACATGCAGCCTGAGTCAGCGGACAGGATGGCGCTTCTTGCCCAGGCCTGCACTGCCGTCTCCACCAGAGGAAACTGAGGCAAACCTCAGTTTTTTTTGGGGGGGGTGCATGCACCTGGCAGGCTCTGCAGCACATGGGGGGCTTGTGAGCCGCACACAAAACAGCTGCCACCTTTGCCCCCCCCCCCCGAACCTGCTCGCACGTGCAAGTGGAGAGAGCTGCCCCACTCCGTCTCGAGCAGGAAAGGCCCCAGTTCATCAGAGGGCGACCATATCCTCAACCCACTTAAAATCACTTATAAGGGAGGAAGAGGCGGGGGGGGACACGCAAGAGGGAGCGACAGATTCCCGAGAGCCCCAAATGAACAGACCTTTTTAGCTCGACCGGCTACCCTGCCAGGTGTGCTGCAGGACCACTCCCAGCATCCCCCAGCCGGCCGGCCAGCCAGCTGGGGGATGCTGGGAGTTGCAGTCCAACAGATCTTGAGGACAGAGAAGGCTGCGCTGGCATTTTTGAATGGCTGGAAGGAATATTTGAAGCAAGTCCCAAACCAGGAATCCATTGGAAGACAGGCCTGGGCGTCTGGGATTGGCAGCATGTGGGAAAGGGCCAGGCCAAGCGCTTCCAGGGCTCGATCCCCCCCAGAGGCTTCCACCATGGGCTTCCAGGCACTGCTGTTTGCTGGGCAATTTCTCGGCAATTAAAAGGAGACACAGAAAAGGGAGATCAAAATCAGAATGGAGAAATATGAGCTGGACCTCCCAGTCCCTTTTGAGGGGGGGGAATCTAGCTACGTGAAGAAGGAGTCTTGGCTGTACTTCGGGACGCACACAACGACGCCTTTGTAAGGCTTCCCGCAACTCGGCTCTTCGTCCTAGCCCCTCTTCCCAAAGATAGCTCTGTTGATGTTGCCCAACTCGCACACAGGCACACGCACAAAAAAACTGTTATCTGAAAACTGAAGCAACAGTTATTAATGTCGGACAAATCTGGAGATTCATGCGGGAGAACAAGCCCCAGCAGTGATAGGAAAAAGCCTCTTTCTCCTGGCTGCAAAAACAAGCACTCACTTTGTGCTCCTGCAGATACTGCCATGGGAGATAAGGTCCTTTCTGTGACATGCTAAGCTGTGGCAGCGCTCAGCTGTGGTGCCCAGGCATAGAGCCCTCATTTAGGCACTTCCAAGAAAAGAAAAGGCGCTGGGGGCTGGGGGCAGGGGCGGCGAGAGGAGGACTGAGCATACAAGGCTCTTCTGGCTGCCACGGGTGGGGCAAAATCGCAAAAAGGCTGTGCTCCAGATGTGCGGGGTGCCTATCATCCACAGCCAATGCGTCTAGTCCAATGCACAGCTGGAGTACACCAGGTTGGGAGAGGCTAAACTAGAGGGCATGAAATGTAATATGTGTGTGTGTCTGTGGTATTGCATTTTAAATCACTTATTTTCAATATTATCATGGTGTATACGCAAAATGTTACAACTTGGCAACTAGCAAAGAATACATGACATTGAAAGCCCAGTTACAGTTGCTGGGAAGCACAGGAGAGTCAATATATTAGAAACACAGGAACAGAGCGTGTCAGAAGGGGCCTCCAGGGCCATCTAGTCTGACCCCCAGCTCCACCTGGCTCCGCTCATGACATGCCTACTATATGCATGATACCGTAATACCTTATGCTTTGTCCACAAAAGTGCCTCAGGAATTTCCTTGCAATTATCTAAGGGCGCAATCCCCATGCTGAATGCTGTGGGCTTTTTTCTGTCTAAACGTGTACAGGATGACACCTTCCCTGCCCACACAATTTCCCCCCCTGCAAACATAGTTCATGAATAAAGTCACCCCGTTAATTCACCCCATGGCCTACGTGTCAGATCCTTGGCGCTGCCTGTGTGTCCTCACCTCTTCAGTTCAGTTAGCACAACATTTCAAAGACAGCTGTGCCAGGTCATTAGTGGCGGAGCTGTACATTTTGGGGGGTTTGAGAAAGATTTCCATCAGAATGGACTGGAAACTTGTTGAGCACATGCTAAATGCTTTCAACCAAATGCTCTCTTTCGAAGTGGCTTCCACCGCAAGAACTGGAGAATTACAGACATCTTAAGGATCTTGCAAACCTGAGGTGCAAACTGGCGGTCCTTGGGGGAATTTCATGTGCCCCTCAGCATCTTTCCACTCACTCACTCTTGTTCTCTGTAGGAACAGTGCCCCATCCTGCCCCTCCACAGTAGAGCTTCCCCTCCCGCACTCAGACATATGGCTGCTTTAAAAAGGTTTTTGAAAATGCAGCTTTCCTCCCTGGCTTTTAAATGGATGTTTCAGTGACAGTGTTGTTTCACTTGCTGTGTGGCTCGAAAGGCATTTAAAAAAATGAAAATAAAGACATAAATAAAGGTGCAGGCTTAACCCCATTTAGAATTGCACCCTAAAGCATTAAATTTAGTTTGGTCTGTATTCTAAGAATAACTAACAGGAAAGCATGATGGACATGGAAAGGTTGGAAAGTCAGGAGATCTCGGTTCTGGTCCCCACTCAGCTACGGAGTTAAGTGGGTGACTTTAGGAGAGTCAGAGACTCTCAGCTCAAACTCTCTAACATGTTGCTATGAGGATAAGTTTGAGAGGATGAGAATTATGCAAGGCACCTTCATTGGCAGGGGAAAGGTACGATAGGAATAAATGCATATGATATAAAAGGTAAGTCACAAGTGTCCAAACTATTATTCAGGCTTTGCTGGCTAGGATGATGGGAGCTGAAGTCCAAAACATCTGGAACGCACCAGGTTGGGGAAGGGAGCTTCAGAGAGTTCAGGTAATCGTCAAAGGGAGGCCTTGCTGTCCGTGCCACATCCTGTAAAGTCTCATTGGGCAGCAACATGGCAGCAAGACTTATTGGTGGGAGCACCATCCCCTTGGAATGCCCTCCCCACTGCAATAGCAAGGCACCAGCGATCATGCACTTTCGACAGTTACTAAACATTTGCATGTGTTTTCCAACCATTAACTTGTAGTATGCAGTGAACTGCTTTGGGAACTTTTTTAAAAAACAGGAAATGGCAGATAAATGTTCTAAAATGAACATATAAAGGATTTCACAAATTATCACATTAGGCTTGGATCTAACAGGTGTGCATTGAAACCATGCATCATGGAGAGAGCAGTTTTTTCAGATTTCCAGGTCTCACATCACAACAGACAAAATAATGGCCAGCTGAAGGGATTTTCAACAGCTAAACAGGGGAGTTTGAAAATGCAGAATACTGAAAAGCTGGTGCACCATTACTTTTTAATGAACATGATCTTCCATACCTCAAAGGCCAACTGAGTTGCCATGGCATAAGCTTTCCATGGACTAGGGAAATGCTTACATTCAGCACCATCTTTTTCAGACCTTCTTTCAATGTCCTCATAACAAACATTTAATGGGAGGAGAACATCTGACTATTCCGTGGAAAAAGCAGTCTCATAACTAATATCTAACTGGATTTTTATTTCCCCTTCAGTTGTGAGAAATGGAAGTCACCCAAAACTGGTTCTTTTAAATAACTCATTCTTTTTCACTGGGAACCTTTTCAGCCAAAGGTCACATTTCTTCCCCAGCCCACCTTCTGAGGGTCGCATACCAGTGGTGGGGATGGCCAAAACAAGCAGCAGAGCATGTATTCGCTCTCACCTACAGATGCTCGCATCCACACAGTGATCCAGGCTCTTACATGTGCTCCTGCTCCACACATACATGAAGTTCCTTCTAGAGCTGTTCTTCTGTGACATAATTTCTAACAAAAGCCATTAAAACACACATTCACCGCACTCTAAAGCTTGTAACTTGCTAAAGATAGGTGTACCATGGAAAGGCAGCTAAGCACATGCTTAAAGCCTTTCTTTATTGCAGCTTCAAACATTGACTGTAAAAGAAAAGGGACTGTGGAGGAACAGACTAGGCCTTCTGAGGTCACAGAATTAGACACAGTGCCTGCTCACCAAGCTTCTCCACTGTCACACTGCTAACATACACTTTGCTTCAGTACTACCAAAACTCAACCCATTTCCTCTAGGCCCATCCTCGAATAGGAACACTGTCTCATTAGCGAGCTTCAGCTGTCTTGTTTACCAAACTCTTCATCACCCATTCCCTAACAATGACCCTTCCTTCCAAGCACAGGTTACTTCCTACAAGAGTTCTCCCAAGAGACTCTTGGGACTTAAAGAATGAAACAAAAGGCAGTTGTTTTGGAGGGGAGGGGAGGGGAGGGGAGGGGGGAGAGCTTTCTTCTGCTGCATTTAAAACTGCAGGTGGTGAGGAAGCCACCAATACTTGGGGCAGACTCCCTGCTAGTACACTGCATTATGGAGATATGGCAGGTGAGAATTACCTGGACATGGCTGAGGAATGATGGGAAAGGCAGCCCAATACATCTCCATAGTGCCAGATTGATGAAGACTGGCTTAAAGATTCGGCCAGTCTCTTGCATCTTTAGATAACATAGAAGAATGCTACCGGTGTCACGCCTCCATTCTCTCTCACTGTTTCTGTACATGGAGCTATAGAAACTATGAGGTTGGGCCCTGCCTCGTGAAGCATAGAATGTAGAGTAAGACAAAAGTGGCAAAGGAAGGGAGGTTAGAGAACAATATTTCTGGAATTGTTTTATTGCAAACGCTCTACACAAAACCTCCAAGCAACTAGCCTTTGCTGTTTTGCTTTCCCTAAGTCCCCGATCTGCCTTTCTCCAACCTGGTGCCATTCTGACATGTCAAGGCTGCAGCTCCCATAGTTACTCTCACCTTGAGAGTCCCAGGTTGAGGAAGGCCACCTTAGAAGAAAAGAGACAGTAAAAGGGAAGACACTGACGTCCCAGAACAAAGAAAGAAGGGGAAAGGTTGAAAAACACGTTAGGGAAACGCCTTTTCCTCGTTTGTGAAGGACGCATTTTGAAGCAGACGCAGCACTGGAAAGGTATTTTCCGCTACATTTGGGGAACAGGAAGAGTCCTTTCTGAATCTCGGGGGGGGGGGCATCATAAAGCTTTTTCAAGCACCTGAGAATATCTTGAGGAGGAAGCTTTCCTGCGTGGGGTCAGTACAAGGAGGGAGTGCAAAGTGGAAAAGACATCGAACAGAAGTACAGCCGCCGCCGCCGCCGCCGCCGCCGCCGCCCCCGCGGCCCAGCAGCCCTCCAACCGCGCCCCCCACGTTTTCAAGAGCTTCCAGCTGAGCCGGGCGCCCCCCGCCCGCCAAAGGCCCCCGCTGCCGGCTCGGCCCCCACCCGGGGACCAGCAAAGAAGGCCCCCGCCGCCCGAGAGCGCGCCCCCTCCCCACTTTCCCCTAACCCCGCGCCTCCCTTACCCGAACTCCAACTGAACCGACAAGGGCGCCGCCATTTTGAGTCAGGGAAAAGCGCTGCCCGCACCGGAAGCACCTTGACGTTCGCCGCCGGGTCCGGCGCGGCTGCCTAGCAACAGGGGCGGGGCCTTGGGCAGAGGAGACGCTCTGAGCATACCATAGAGTAGACAGGAAGGGCGCAATCCTAGGCATGCTGAGACAGCAAAAAATAAAAGTCCCACAACTCGCCGCATGCTCCACGGGACTTTTATTTTTCTCTGTCTAAACTGCACCTTCCAGATGGATTGGGGACACAACCCCCATCATCCCCAGCCTACTTGCAACATATCTGGAGAGTGCTAAGTGGGGGGAGCTGCTCCAGGGTATACATTACACAGGCTGGGGAGGGGGGAGATGGAAGCAAGAATGGAGCAGTTCGTGTGTTTGCAGCCCTAATCCCCAATCTTCCTTGTTCGAAATTGGCGGGGGCAACCTGGGAGTTGCAGGCCGTTTTTCCAAACATGCATTGGGTTGTGTCCTGATTTGCACACGCGTCACAAGGACCCTCTTTCCTTTTTGCACCGACAGACCAAAAGCCACCCGGGGCTGACAGTTTTCCCATCTTGAAATTGGCCTGAGGACGGAGAGTTGAGATCCAAAGCACCACAGGCTACGATATATCTATATGCAACAAACTTATTTACCTTAATATGCATTTTTCTTTACCTTAAAAGTTTATACACCACCCCATTCCCATAGGCTCTGAGCAGTTTTTGCCATGTTTGCTTGTGTTTTGGGGTTCACTGTGCCCCTCCAACCCCGCAAAATTGTCCCCATACTGCAAATGAGCTAAGCTGCAGCTTCGAGCAATTTAGGGCAATCCTGTATTGCAGGCCAGCGTTTCTCCTACAATAAGGATTGCGTGTGTGGCTGAGTCCGAGAAAGGACGCAATTGCCTGCTGTTAAGGAACCCACACGGCAGTTTTCCGGCTTGACCCACCTGTCTACCTGCAGATTGGGATGCCAGCTTGTAATGCTACACACGATTAGAGTGAAACACATGCTAAACATATTTGAATCCCACATACCTGTAAGCAATGCCTTCAGGGCCAACCCGATTTTAAAAATCTGAGCTGCCTTAGATGAACTAGCCTTCTTATGCGATGCTGAGTTGAAGGCCTGTAACCATGCAAACTTGGAGGGTATGATGCATCTAGCCGAGCCCAGGAGGGCCACGAGGGCAAGACTGCCTCCGTGCATCTCCCGCCCGGCAGGAGACAGAACGCTGATGTCGGGCTTGCAAGGTAGCGCATGGTCACCACCAGTTCAGATGTCAAAAGGCGTTCGGCAAATTCACAGAGGGGGCAGCGATCAACTGCTACTTGCCCTGGAGCATTGCTGGGGAACATGGGCAAGAGAGTGCTGTTCTGCTTGCACCTTTCCTGGGAGCATCTGGCCAGGTGCTCTGGGTATGGAAGGCCGGCTCGAAAGACCCCTAGTCTGCTCCAGCGGGGCTCTTCTGATTATGGGCTTGCTCACGAGGAGGAGAAACTAAGGCACCCCATAGCGTCACTTACCACTTGCAACTGGTACGGAGGAAGGGAGCCGGGACTCTGACCTGGGCACACAACTCCAAGGTCAGAGCTGGGATGCCGGCCTCTCCCGCAGCCTTTTAAGCAGTGCCTAGAGGCCACAAAAGATGCGTGTGGGATGAGGGGGCTTCTTAAAGGGCCCCTCCAGACTCTCTGGGACTTACTGCAAATTCGACATGTTTAGGACCGCTCAGTAAATGTTCTGAAAACCACCTGAGCTTTCAATAAACCAATGCGTCTCCTAACTCCCGGCTTTCGAAGCCAGTGCTCAGAAGCCCCTGGCCGCATGCAGGATACACCCCTGACTCACTGGAAAAATTGTCCCCCTACGGCTTTTTGTCTGTTTGCTTGAGCACGGCAGGGAGCAGCGACTGCAGTGGCTCAGCATCCCGTCGGTGCCTGCGAAACAGACGGGCGGCCATCGCGTGAGCTGTGGGGTGCGACTCTTTCCCCTCGAGAGGGAAGAGGGAACACGGCCGTTCGAACACACGGCACCAAGCTCCGGCGAGGACGACCCGCTTGGCCAGCGCGCCCGGCCACGGAGGGCCCAATTATTCCTCAGCGAGGCATTCAGACGCACCCCAAAGAGCGGCTTGCGTGCCTCGCCGTGGCGAGTCCCACTTCGAGGGCGGAATGATGGACAGGGATGCCGGAGCCACTGCGGCCGCCATGATGACAATGGAGTTTCTGGCTCCGGGGCTTTGTTTGATTCCCCCGTCGCCGTTTTGAACTCCCCTCTTCTGCATCGGAGAAAAAAGGGGGTCTGGCTCGGTGGTGGGAGACGGGTGGGGGCAGGGAAGGCGAGGTCAGGGCGAGTTAAAGCTTTTTCCATCTCATTCATGTGATAATTGGGTGTCAAGCAGAGATCAGGAAGGTGGAGGCCCGCCTCTGCGCTCGGGTTAAACTGCCGCTGAAAGAAAGGGGGAGCCCAGCCGCCAGGCCCGTATGTCATCACGGCTCACAGGAGAACCGCTGCGAAGCCTCCTCTATTCGGACGGGGTGTAAAGGGGGTGGGTGTGGGGCTGGGTGTGGGGAGCGCGCTGCGCTTTTTAAATTCACAGGCTCCTCGAAAGCGGCCGAACAAAGCCGGAGGGCATCTCAACAATGGCAGACCCCTGTCTCGGCCTTCAATAGGGGGCTCTAAACAGGCGTTTAACCTTCAGAATAGCTGAAAGTGATACTCAAAAGCAGCTTGGCCCTTTATTATGGCTGCACCAGGGGCCATTTGGATGGGTTCTCCACTGCCCTGGCCTGCATCCCTTCCAGTTATACCCCAAATCGGCGCTTTCTTTGGCAAAGCCAGGGAGCGTGGGGTCTTTCCGGCTCGTGAAGCACCCCATGTGAAAGGACAGGCACTCTTTGCAAGCAGGGACATGGAAGGAGGGGTGAAATAGGTCCAGTGCGCACTGGAGTGCAAACGCCCCTAATTTTGCACATTCGCATCGATTTGCCAATGGAAACTTGGCTGTCTCTCGCGATTCACCGTTCTCTGAATTCGGGCTCTCCAGTCAGAAAGCCTGCACAGAAACGTGCGTTGCGAAGCTTGGTGCGTCCAAGTGTGAACGCAATGGACAAAAACAGTGGTCTGTTAAAAAGTAGCTTAGGCAAATGGTTGACAAAAATGTTTGCCTAAGGAAAGAAGTACAAAAATCTCAAATTTCGTATATTGAAACATGTTTGGGGCAAATCAAAGTTAAGATTGGAGGAATTTGAATGCGATGCAGAGGAACTGAAATGGGCAGGTTTGTCCAGCTCTGGGTTTAGATGACATGGAATGTTCCAAATTTTGGATTTCCTAGCTTTTCAGAAAAAGGTTAATATTTGGTGAGCAGAAAATGGCACTCAGATGTAGAACAGTAAAGTACATGTGATGTTTCCAAAACTCATGGAAGGGCAGAAGGTTTTTGGTTTTGTTTTGGGCTGGAGACTTTCCCTAGAACCTCTTGTGCTAGAGATGCGGACAAGTGTTTCTCGATTTTTCAACCCACACTTTAAATCTTTGGAAGTTGCATCTTGATCCTGATGCATTTAAATTCATGTGCAAATATGTAAAATAAGGGTGTACTACTAGGGCCTTTCACTCACACACCACGGCTTGTTCCAGAAGCCAGTTCAGGGCAAGCTATTGTGCGGTCAATGATCAGCAAAGGCAGAAAAGCCTTTGGCAACACAAACGAGAACTGGAGAAAACGGAGTTGGCACACAGCACTGTTTTGACCAGCCAGCCAGCCAGCCTGCACGATATTTCGTTTCATTCACCCTCACCCTCCGTTTGGGTCCTCATCTGGCTTTTTGTGGCTGTCCTCCTTCCTCCTAAATGATTCCTGCATTTCCGGAGAAGTGCGGCTTCCCTCCGCCGCCTGGGCGGGGACATAATGAACGGCACTCACATCTGAACAGTGGAAATGAGGGCGTAAAGTGCGGCGATGAGAAATCTGGGCAGGGGTCCTCAGGACAAGGGCTAGCATACGCCCATTTTTCCATCTGTGAAGGCACACATACGCAGAGCTGTGCTGGCTGCGACGAGATGCATCCTTCGTCCTCTCCCCGTTCCCGAAAGCACAAGATCAGAACACAGTGTTGACATCCTTTATTAGACGTGAAGGCGCCATTTTCTTCCCTGGTTCCACTGCAGGAGTGACAAGCCAGGAACGTCTCAACATAACCGACCATGTCATGTGCTGATCATGACAAAGCTTCGGGGGCAAAAGACCGTTTGGGCTCCTCTGTTCATGATGCTTTCCTTTCTCACCCTGTGTGCACACAGGGACACCCTTGGCATCATGTTCCCTGAGTAGAGGTTGAAGCAGCATCCACATGAAGAAGGACGACTTTCCCCTATCCTGCCAAGTTTGGAGAATTATGCAGTCCTTCTGACAGACGGAAACACTAGAAGGAATTGGCGGCATGAGATGTTCAAGGCTGGGCCGGAGGATGGCGGGACGTCCGGCTCCTCCACCGGGCCCTGGAAGGCTTACCCAGCCAGGGCTGCTGCTCTGAGCGACACCTGGATCGGACCCCCCTCCCCGTCCCCGTCCCACAATGCCCCAGAGAGCCTGGAGGCTTTATGGGAAACCAAAGCGGTGGGGGGCAAGGCCCAGTCGCCCAGCACTGCTCAGAGGAATACAGCAAGAGTTAGGCGTACAATTATGGCACAGTAAGGCAGAAACGTTTGGCCTCTCTCATTTCTATCTGCACATCTCCACGCAGCGCTAAAACAGCTGTTTGCAGCCTCTGTGCCCTGTGGGAGAAATCGGGGGGGGGGGGAGAGTGGAGAGAGAAATGGGGGCTTGGAAAGATGCCCTGTCCAGCTGTGAACTCCGGGCAGCCGGCAGAATGGACCGGGGGGGATCCAGGTAAATTGAGGAGATGGGAGAGAGCTGAATCCCATGTTCTTCATGCTGTAAGAATGGCGTGATCGTATTTTAAGAGACAATTTGTTCTGACTCAAGCAACACGTCGGAAGCAGCCACCGGTGAAGTTCGACCATGTGCCTTCCTGCCAAATATTGCCTGTTTCGGGTGCACTGAAGGTCTTTCAGCCTGGGGGGCAGCATTCCCAGGTTCAATGGGGGGCAGCGTTCACCCATCTCAACGGGCATTCCTGGGGTTGTCGCCTCCCCAGGAGCAGGTCTTTCTAAAGCCAATGGGCCAGCGCCCACTGACAAGCAAGTTGCCCCAAATCTTTGCCTCGCAACAGGAAAACATACTGTTTTCACATCCCCCTCGATCAGGGGTCTCAAACTGGCGGCCCGTGGGCCACTTGCCAGGCTGGGCGTGGCACGGGGTAGGGGCCCTGTGGCCTTTAAAGTGCCGGCGGCGCCTGGGCCGGACGCAGGATGAGCGGCCCACCACCGCCGCGGTGGTGGAATACTTGATGCGGCCCAGCCTCACCCAGACTCTATTTCCAGCGGCCCCCAGATCAGTTGAGTTTGAGACCCCTGCCCTAGATAATGTGAAGCGCCAGCTAAGCTGAGGGGACAGGGTATCTTGCAGGGCTGGGGGCAGTCGGCCTCAGCATCCTTGCCGATCAAAAAATTACCAGCACTGTATCCCTGCCATCTTAGCTCTGGTTTGGAGGATGGACAGACAGCCGGATAGGGGACATACTCTTGATGTTGGCGACAGCAGCACATTTCAGAGCAGATTTTTAAAAGCGGAACTTGTGAACCTCACCTCTCGTAACTGCCTGCTAGAAGCAAATGAATTGGGGAGGGGGAGGGGGCTCCCAGGGGGCCTCTGTCACTGAATGCGCAAACCGAAGAAGTGACCGCCGGTGCATTTTGCCTCTGACCTTTTCGCAGCCTGTCCCCAGCAGAAGAAGTGGAACAGAGACAGGCACCAGTGCTTGTGAGACAGAAACAAAGAGTGGTGCTTTTTGCAAGACAACCACACAGAAGGACCAAATCCAGCCAGCTTGCACAGAGCAGCAATCGTGCCCTTTAAAAAATGCAATAAATTACAACGCGCGCGCACACACACACACACACACACACAAATCAAGGTCCACTCACGAAAGTAGAAAAGAACCCATTCCCCGGAAAAAGAAGTTGAGTCATGGTAGAAACCTGTACTCAAGACTACTTGCCCAGCCTTTCAATGCCCGTTCCGCAAACTAGAGAGAGCATTTTAGCAGCCAGAAGGAGGCATTCCCCCTTCCATGTTTTGTTTTTAAAGAAGCAGTCACAACCCATCTCTCCAGGTGCGACCATTTCACACTTCGGCTGAATTCTGCAGAATGCCTTTGCTCCCACCGGGGCTGCTTGAGCGGCATGGAAAGAAAGCACCACGGCGCCCCCTAGAGGCACTCCAGAGCCCTTGCTGGTCTGATCCTTGGCTTGGCAGGGGGAAAACACAGGGGAAAGGGGGAAATGAGGGAACTCAAGGGGCAGAGTGTCCGAATTTCGGCCTCCCCCAGCAATTGTCCACCTTCTACAGGGAGGGGGCAGCCTCCATTCCCATGAAATAAAACGTGATGCCAACATGTTGCCTTGCTTTGGTATCCAGCTCTCCCACATCTTTCCCAGGCCAGCATCCTCCGGAAAACCTGATTAAAAAACATGAACACATGAACCAACCAACAAGCTCCCAAGTTGCTGTGCCTCTTCTTATATACTCAACTCTTTCCAGCTCTCGGTTTCCTAGCCAAGTCCCGGCCTGTACACTCCGAAAGGGCCCCGGAGCCACGAGAAGAGGGGAGAGACTCTCAGAGCTTCGCCTGTCCTGCCTGGATCCTCTGGAAGATGGCCTCATCCAGCGGAAAGTACCGGCCTTGTCTGGGCTCCAAAAAATAAAGCTTGTCCTTCACCACACTGGGGTCATATCCCTCCTTACGCAGGTCCATTTTCTGGAACTTGAAGGTACCTGGGTTGCGGGGGTCGAAGGGAAGAAAGAACAACCAACAGTAATAAGGAATTCCATTTTTCTATTTCCTTCCCTGCTGATGGAGAGCAAGAGGAGAGAAAGAGGTAAGCCGCTTTGAGCTTTTAAAAGAAAAAAAGGCAGGATATCAAGCTAATAAATCAGTCAGTCAAAAGCTAATTAACTTCCTACTCACTGCCTCTAAAACAACTTGCAGCCTTCCAGATGTTTCACTACATCTCCCATCAACCCTAGCCAGCACACCCAATGGGGAGGCATGATGGGATTCATAGGCCAACACATCCAGAGGGCCATGACTTGCCCCAAGGAAAAGCTACGTGTTGCCCAGCTCAGCTGAAGTCCCTGCTTTGAACAGCTGGCTGTGCCAGCCCTCAGCAGCTGGACTGAGCAGATTCCAGGAGGAAGAGGCACAAGAGAAAATTTATCTTCTGAAAGCTGGCTTTTCTTTGGCTTCCTATATTCCAGCTTATTTACAAGAGCTGAGCAGGTCTGCTGAGGATGGGGGGGGGGGTCCATTGATAGGGTCGCCGTAAGTTGGAGATCGCTTGGCTAGAAGCCTCTGACCCAGAAGGGCCCACAAGAGGGCACGTTCCCTGAGCCCTGCCAACCCCACACTGGCCCTGCACGTGCTGGCACAGACAAGCAGGCCTTTTCAGAGAAAGCAGCTTGCCACCAGTCCAACTTGTGTGTAAGGTTCAGGCACAGCAAGAAGCGCAACAGCAGCACCAACACAGCCAGTAAATTAGGCAGTCCAAGTCCAGTCATTCTCCAAAGCAAGCCAGGGCCCCCGCCAGGAGCAGACCAAGCACAGGCCAGACGGCCAAAGCACCATCAAAGCGGGCCAGAGGCAAAGAGCCAAGAAGGTGTACCAGGGCAAGGTACCTGTGGTCCACAAGCAAGGCCCACGGGCCGGAGGAGCCGGGCACCAGCACTCCCCCACCGGGAGAGACGCAGAGACACTGAAGCGCCTTCTGGCGGGCAGGGCCGCTTCTCAACAGCTCTCCCAGGTGCTGCTCAGGGAAGCCCAGCAGGTGCGGCTGCTTGGGAGCAATCCTGCAACCAGCTTCTTACTAGCTCTGCCCAAGGGCTCCCAGGTGCTGCTCATGGAAGCCCAGCAGGTGCAGCTGCTTGGGACCAATCCTGCAACCAGCTTCTTAATAGCTCTGCCCAAGGGCTCCCAGGTGCTGCTCATGGACGCCCAGCAGGTACAGCTGCTTGGGACCAATCCTGCAACCAGTTATTCCGGTGTTGGCCAGCAGGGGGAGCCCTGAGACTGGTGAATTTTCTCTTTTGTTAATTTGCTATGTTGTAATCTGCCTGGAGAGTCCTAAGGGACTATTAGTCTGGAATACAAGTTTAATAAATAAAAATACAAAATACGAAAATAAAAAATAAAAATAATGAGAAATGAAATGACTGAAGGGTGGGAGATTTAGGACAGATCTGGGAAAGGCGTTTTCATGCAGTGCAGCTTTCGTAAGATGTGGAATTGTAGAGGGGCTAGGACAAAACCAGTCAGGTAAGCCTCACAGTGAATACTAGTCCTGATGGCTACCAGCATTCCTGATCATCGGCCACGTTGGCTAGGGATGATGGGAACTGAGGCCCAAAACATTTGAAGGGCGCCCGGTTGGATACAGCCAATGCTCTGATCCTAATGCTGTTGTGACCTCTGAGAAATGCTTCCAAACATGCAAAGCAGACAATAATATGAAGACGCTAAAAAATAACTTTGGAAGGACTCACTCGTCTTCTGCACTTTTGAGAGGAGCCGCAGGAAAACGGGCCTCGCGTACGTGGGCAAGGCCTTCTTCATCTCGTCAGCGAAGCTCTCCAGGTCACAGGAGTTGTCGGGGTTCATGATGGCCGCCATCCCCGCCTTCCCCTCCGTGCCTGGAAGACAGTGAAGACCCGTGACGTCTATTCTTGGCTTCCTCGGCCTAAATTAGGCATTTGCACAGCAAAACGGTCAAGAGGATGCGGGACCTCAGGCCTGGGGGCAAATACGGCCGTGCAGGGAAGCCCCTTCCCACCTGCCTAAGTGTCTGGGGGGCTCTTCCCTCCGTTGACCAATCCCAACCTTAGGCTCACTCTAAGTGGGAGACCACAGAAGCCCTCGGCTAGCAGCCTTTGGCACAAACCGCGTCCGCAGGAGAATCTGTGAGTGCAGATTCTCCGGGATGCCCTGGGAACGTCGCTCTGCCTTGGATCCCTAGAAGGAGGGAGAGGAAGCTGGCTCCCGGCATCGGCCCTTACCTGGCACCTCCACCCCGTAGACGACGACATCCGTCATGTTCAGAATGCGGCTGAGCACCCCCTCGACTTCCGTGGTGGAGACATTCTCACCCTTCCAGCGGAAAGTGTCCCCGGTGCGGTCCCGGAAGAACATGTAGCCCAGCTCATCCATGATCAGGACGTCGCCTGCAGCGAGGAGAGAAACCCCCCGGGAGGAGGCGATGCTTCAGTTCTGGAAAACAGACCCTTTGGGGCCCTGCTCTCCCTCGGTTCCAGACGGGAGCTGGCTTTCCCCCTTATTTCCTTTCAAACCTCGGGCAGTCTTTTTGCTTAAGAGCTCTTCTTTCCAATATAGAGTTGCAGCCACCAGGAGATGAGTCTCTGTGCATGAACAGAGTGATTTTCTGAACCCAAACTGGAAACTATTTCTGAGGACCTTTCTGTTTGGTAGCCCTGCCCCCCCCACCCCCCCAGGGATGCCCCTGTGGACAAGGACCAGCCCCCTAGATCTACGCTGGCCCTCTAGTTGGGGAGCCCTTCAGGGACTGGATTGGGCTCATCCTGCTCCTCTTCCACGTCTCCTCCTGGCACCTCTGAACCTCGGTGACGAATTAAATGCCCTGCAGCAGAGGATGGACTTTACCTGGCACCAAAAATATAGTCAAGCTGGTGCCAGGCAGGCCTCAGTGGGAGTCCCATTCCATAACTTGGAAAGTTCCACCACTGAAAAGCTCTTCTCATTGCTGCCACCATCTGAGCCCCCCTCGGTGTCTGCACCCCTCGCTTCGCAGCTCGCACGGTCGTCATCCAAAGAGTTGGTGCCTTCCTGGCCCCAGGGAATCATGCCAAGAAGAGCTGCCCCTTTCATTCCCAAGAGCGACAGCACCCGCACCCACGATCTCGAGGTGCTTTCAAAAGTAACATGAAAAAGGCGTCATTATCCAAGCCAAGAAGAAAGCACCATGGGTCCAGGAGGGTGGGCTGGGGTGTCCTTCCATCCCCAGTGCTCCACCGATCGGCTCAGGGCTACGTAAACCTCTGCAACGCAAGCTTAGTGCAGTCCCTAAGGAGGGAGGAAGCTGGCTTCGGGTTTGTAAGAGCCACATTTTGCTTTGCTAAAATCCCAGGTTCTGCCTACTGGAGAAGTAAAGGGCTCCGAGCCCAGAAATGTGTCAGAAATTGCAGAATGGAACAGATGATTGCATCGAAATCCTCTGTCTCCAGAGGCCCCTGGTCTTGTGCTCTGTCTCTCTCTGTTTCTCTCTCTCCCTCCTCACTCTCACATACACACGTCTCCATTTCAGCAGCCTAGTTCAGGGATGGAGAGTTGTTTTGCTCTTGCAAACGATGCAAAGTCAAAAATCAGTGCCCATCTACTCTCGGCTGCCCAGAGACTGGCCTGCTCACACGCCGGCCTCCCTGCGAAAGATTCTCCACAGCCAAAACCCGCTGTGGGGACACAGGCTCACCGGTGAGGTAGGCGAAGTCCCCTTTCGTGAAAACGTCCCGGGCGATCTTCTTCGTGTTGGCTTCGTTGTTTAGGTAGCCGTCGAAGCGCTGCAACGGGTCGCTCTGGATGATGCGCCCGACTAGCTGGCCCGGCTCCCCTGTGGGCAGAGAGGGAAGCACAAAGGCACTATTGCGCTAGGCGTCGTTTGGAAAGGAACCATAGCGCTCTCGGTATCGTACGATCTGCTCGCCACGCCTAAAAAGGGACGTGGCGGAGCTGGGAAAATGCAGGTGCCCAAGCGGCTCTGATCCAGGGACGGGAGGGCTTCTCCGGCAAGGAAAGGTGGCAACATCGGGGACTGTCTGGGGCTTTGCGTTGGGGTTCTCCTCCCACTGGTAGAGGGACCACCTTTCTATTTTAAAAGGTATTCTAAAAGTTAGCCATTTTAAGGTTCCTCCAGTCACTCTTGCTTTTATTTATTCTATTTCGATTTAGTTTGATTTGCTCGATGTTTGTTTATGGTTTCATACTGTATCACTGTTTTAATTCTGTGGATGTTGTTATCCGTTGTTTTAAATGCCCGTAAGCCGTCCTGAGAGATTTCTATCAAGGACGGCATACCAAAGCTTTTAATAAATACATTAATAAACTAGAGATATTTTTAGAAGTGGCAAATGGTACGTAAATCAATTAAGGTTTGTGGTTTTTTGTTTTTAAGGGAAGGGCGTAGAGGCAACGGAGGTCTCTTCCCGCCTGCCCTCCCTCGCCCAGCTGGGGCCGCAACCTCCCACCCCAGGATCAGGCCCCAGCGCCCCATGCTGCTCACCTGGTTTACAGCGGATGCAGAGTCCGTCTGGTCCCCGGACCAGCTCCATCGTATCCTCGTTCACTCGGACCAGGTTGATGGGGTAGACGCTGGGAAGGAGTCTGCTGTTGAAGCCACACGCTCCGAACTGCAGAGGAAAGGCGGGGGAGACGTAAATTTGCCGGGGAGCTGCAGATTCTGATTTTGGCCCAGAATCCCCCAACCACCCAAAGGGAAAGCCTCTCACGGGCAGCGACTGTGGCCACAATGTGACTCTCTGCACTTTGCAGCCATCCTTTGCAGGAGCCTTTGGCCACTGGAAACGCAAAGGAAGAAAGTCTCCTTGATTCAGGCCACGGATGCTACGTGGAAAAGGCTCGGTGTCCAAAGTTAGGGCAGCTTGGATTCCTGCAGTGTCGGGCTGCCCTGGAAGACGCTTTAGAAGCCGCAAGTAGTGGAAAATTCACCAGCCAGATGGTTGACTGGGCCAGTGCAGACAGAGCGGCTTTTCAGAGAGCGCCAGGTTAAACTGTGGCATTCACCACCACCAGGTCTAACAACGGACGCCGACGGGGATGACTTGAAGTGGGGTAGACAATTCATGGAGAGGAAGGCTAGTCCCTATGTATTTGCTGGTATCTGTTCTGATCAGGGTGCGTATCTATTCTGCTTTTGTATCGTACTGTATTGTATTGAGAGGCAGTGGTTAGAGGGTTGGCCTAGGACTTGGGCATTCTGGGTTCCTGCTGAGACAACGTCCCCCTATGGCCAGACAAGGAGAAAGTTCTGGCCAGTCGGATCCCGGTGGAGCTGGGCTCTTGCCACCCGATGCTGCGGGCTTCCCTGTGGACGCCGGCTGGACGGCGGCCTCCTACCTTGTTGTCAAAGTTGCCCACGCTACAATTGCACTCCGTGGCGCCGTAGAATTCAGCGATCTGAGGGATGCCGAAGCGCTCGGTGAACTCCTTCCAGATGGAGGCGCGCAGGCCGTTGCCCAAAGCCATGCGCACCCGGTGCTTCCATTCCGCCTCCTGCGAAGGCTGGTTCAAGAGGTACCGGCAAATCTCCCCTATGTACTGCACAACCTGAAGGAGGCAGAGGAGGAGGAGGCGGCGTCAGTGCACGGTGGGACGCGCCACTGCTGGCATCCACATTTGGACCTTGGACCCTTTGTCCTTAAAACATCCCAGCCGTGCCCTTCTCTCGGGGCGGATTTGGGAGATGTGGAGGGGCCTCGCCAGCCTGCGGCTGAGACCAAGAGCCAGGCTCTTGCACACAGCCCCACCGCTGGAGCCAAGGTTGGGGCTGACCCAGAGGGGCCTTCCTGTCCTGGCTCCGCGATTCCGGAACCGTCCCCCAGCTCAGGGAACCATTCCTGCCATCGGTATCTTTTCAGTGCCTGGTAAAGCTCTTTATATTTCGAATGATCACAGCCCATCACCAAACCAGGGGTTCCTTTCCTGGGCTGTCCGTGCTCAGCAGCTCACGGTCAAACCACAGTGCAGGGGGTGTACGTAGTGTCAAACCACGGTTCAGTGACAACCCAAATTCTGGGCTGCCGCTGTGGGCAGAGATTCCTCCTTAACAGTTTTTCTTCCGCGACCAAATAAAAACAAAACAAAAAAAAATGACAAGGCACCGGGAAGGCATGGAAGGTTCTGAGTCAACGATCCTAAAGTCTGGTTTCTGGAACATTCTGTGTTTGGAACAGGGTAATATAATAAACGAACTTGCTGGGAAGAAGCCGCCTCGTTCTGCCACTTCTTTTATTCGCTCTCTCAGGACAGGCAAATCACCCTTCCTGGAGCTCGAGGGAATTAGGCCGAAGAGCCTGAGCGCCCTGGCTGTGTTTCGACCGCGTTTTAATCTCGCCAGACACTGGCTTTTCTTGGGCTGCTTGTCCACCACGCCGAAGCGGTGCTCTGAGCACTTGCGCCCTGCGCACACCTTGGAGTTCCCCTGGACGTGCCGGAAAGGTGCTTCCCAGGTGCTCCGTTTTGCTGCAGCGCAGCTGGCGCGCTGCACCCACGAGGGCTCGCTATGCGAGGGGTGTGACTCAAGGGGATGCGGTGGGGGATGGCCTCCCACAGATCCACCGCTTCGCACGTGGCTCCGCAAGCCCCTTCGTCGCTGGTTCCGAGAGCGACGGAGGCGCCGCCTCGGATCTGAGCGCTTGTCGGCGCCCCGAAGGCGGGGGCGTCGATTCCCCGACCCGCCTGCCCCCCGCTCACGCTGGGCCTCACCGTACAGTTGTACTTCACACAGTCGTCCCAGAACTGAGAAGCCGAGAACTTTTTCCGGATAACCACGGTCAGTCCATGGATAATGCACTGGCCGATCCCAACAATGTTACCTGGCAAGGAAGACCGAGTCAATCATTCTGCACTGGCCACTTCAGCCTGTATGGGGGGTGGGGGGAGCTCAATAACTCAATCCCCCCCCATATAAAACACCTTGCAGAAAATTGCAGGCCACAGAACACGCTCCCCAGAGAGGTCCACCTGGCGCCGACCTTATATTCTTTTTATTAGATTATTATGTATTATTATTCATAATTATTTATTATATTCTTTTATCAAACCCCTTTTTATCTTCTCGTTATTTTAATGTTTAATTGATTTTAACTGGGCTTTTAGTATATCAAATGTCAGATGCCGTGGCCTTTGTTTTATTCTACTCATTTTTTGTAAGCCGTCCCGAGACGCTTGAAGTGGACGGGTTAGCAAAGCTTTTAATTAATAAATAAGAACTGAATGATGCAGAGATGCTGCTGCGGCTTCTGTTATGATTATTTATATCCTGCCTGTTCCCAGTGATTAGGACTCAAGGCAGATCACAACAGAAGCCGTCCAGAGACTTTAGTATAGGACGGCATATAAAACATTTGCATAAATAAATAATTCCGGCCCATGTGTGTTTCCCCTTCCACTGTTCTCAACCCTTGAATTCTTCTGTCTGAGGCTTTTCTTGAAATCAGATGCCCTCCTTTCTCCTATCCAGATCCCCCTTCTTGCAAAAAAGGGGTCTTTCACAGACAGATGTCTTAAAAGACAGAGAGAGAGAGGGAGAGGGAGAGAGAGAGAGAGAATATGAATGAATGAAGATATACAAATGCATGCCCCGTTTTGCCCTGTGGGCCCACGTCCCACATTTTCCCATGCCTTGCACCACCCCAGGTTCCCTTCCAATCAATCCACGCATTTTGGCCGGGGTTTCTGTCAGTGGGTTGTGTGAATGAGTGCAGACTCCTCTTGCGGGGACCGAGGGCTCGAGGTACCTGCCGAGTGATACAGCGGGAGGCAGTCATAGATCACATCGTCAGGCCGCATGTGGAAGCCGTTAAAGACCAGGGTCGCCATGCGGAAATACCTGGGGGAGAAATAGAGGGCCCTTCAGCGTTATCAAGTCTCAGCAGAGTTTTGTTTAGCACTTGGCAGCGGGCAGAAGATATTTCTGGGGTAACTTCCGTAGCGCTTCTGCACTTCCGATCTCTGCGTGTCTGCCGGCTTGACTGGACAAATTCACCCCCATCGTTTGCCCCAGAACTGCTTTGCGATCCAAGCACAGAAGACAAGGATCCTATCACACAAAAACAGCTGCAATCGTTTTGACCTCTGTGCTCAGGCTCGAAAAGGCAGAACCCCCGGCCAGGCATGGAGACCCGCCAGTATTTTTGCCGATTCAGAATTGCCCTTCCACCCAACATTAAGACGCAAATGAGGTTTAATAAAATTGCACTGCAAATTTCAGCAAAGCAAGCCAGATTTACATTTAATTACATTTAATCCTGATTTAAGACACGACCTGATGCATTATTTATGTATTTATGTACCCCGAGGCTTTGTTGCAATGGGGGTGGCATAGAAATGTTTTAAATAAATAAATAAAATAGAATGTTGAGACAGGAAAAGCAGCCTGGAACTCCAAGCAGGCCCCAGTCAGATGCAAGAAATTTTCCTGTCTAAACATACCAAGAAATGCATTTATTTTAACATGTATATTCTGCAGACCAGTAGTCCAAACAAGACTCTCTAGGCAGATCACCAAAGAAGCAGAATCAAAACATGTACACCAGTAAAGCGAACCAAACAACAAATGCACGATACAACAAAAGCCAACAATTTAAACAAGATACTAGCATGGACACAATCCATGCTAGTATAATATACAGAATTGTGTTTTCTTTACGGAGTGTTGGCTACATGACAGTTTGTTGTCTTGCAGGCTTTTAAAGACCCCCCAAAATGCACCCTGCCAGCCCCCCTTGCTTCACCAACCTGCAGTGGACAATAATAGCGGCCTTTGGCAAGCCAGTTGTGCCAGAAGTGTAGATGTAGAACAATTTATCTGGAAGGCAAAGGAAGCGGAGAGAACCCAGAGTCACATCGGGTGCTATCAAGGCAAGCGAGTGCGGAGCTAATACCATTTTCCCCCCAAAATAAGACCAGGTCTTATATTAGTTTTTGCTCCAGAAGACACATTAGGGCTTATTTTCAGGTGATGCGTCATGTTTTCATGCACAACAATCTGCATTTATTCAAATACAGCCCCGTCGTCTTCTTCTGGAGCATCGTTATAACTCTCCAAAGCCTGAACTGTGTTGCAACGGATGTACTAAATGCGTCCGTCTGGCTGATGAACTTAACTGGGGCTTATTTTAGGGGTAGGGCTTATATTACGAGCATCCTGAAAAATCACGCTGGGGATTATTTTCCGGTTAGAGCTTATTTTGGGGGAAACAGGGTATGTGCTCTGCAACAGAAGCAAAATCTAGGGGTTTGTGCACGGCGTTATACCAGCCAAGCCAACTTCCTTCTGTAGGAGGACTTAACTTTGAGTATTGGACGGAAAGAGCACCTTCCGTGGCCGGGGGACTGCTTTGAACGGCTGACTGTATGGAAGAACGTATTGTCAGCTGTGGCTGATGCCCTTAGAAGACTTGACCTTCTGCCAGGAAAGTCTCAGGGATGGTGGTAAAAAGTAACAAGGAAGGAAGAGCCGCCTAGGGGTCCATTGGCAAGATAGGTGGCATATAAGTGTATGGCGTAAGTGGCATATAAATCAGTACACAGATCAATAAATAGGAGCTGGGAAGTGGCACCATGGCTGCCCCAGAAGGCAGGCAGGGAGCATCCGTGGAGGAGACACGCTGCTCTGGACATCTCCTTCCTGCACTGGAATACGGTTTTTCTGAACCGTACCCCCCAGGCCAGGTTCTGAACCATGGACAGGGTTCCCACAGAAACTCTGAAGGGCTGTGGGACTTCCTGCATGAAAGGATCGTGCTGGCTGGGCAGGCCCTGGCCGCACTCAGGCCAGGCTTTTCAATAGCCCAGCGACCCAGTGGCCAGAACCACTGCTGGGTAATCCAGGGGAGTCCCTGTGCGTTTCACTCCTCATGGGCGACTGGGGATGGGCGACTGTGGTCTCACAGAGGCTCTTTCCCACCCCCTTTCGCTTGTGGCATGGGAAACGGCTGGAACTTCTGCTTTAGGCCACCAACTGACCGAGTTGTGTAGCAACACCCCCGCTGGGAAGGGCTGGTGGGGTAACTGGCGTGGCCTCTTCGCTAGGCCTGTCTCTAGATTCTGGACCCTCACTGAGCATTGCAGAAGGTGCCCCGAAGCCCGGAGTCCAGCGGGGAACAGCCCTCTCCGCTGTCTGTACGTACCTAGGAACCCTTTGTCTGGTGGCTCTGGCAAGTGGCCAGAGGCCTTGGCAATCAGGGGGTCCAGGTGTTCTGTCCCTGGGGGGACCTTTCCTGCTGTCCAGTCACCAGAAGAGAACAGACGAACCGACTTCGCGAGGGAAGGCTGGACTTCCTGCATGGCTAGAAAAGAGGAGCGGCGTTGGAGGGCACGGGGCTCCAAATGCCCGTTTTTCTGAGGCTAAAAGCCCGAAATGCCTCTCCGAGCATCTCTGGTCCCACCTGGAGCGGGCTCCCCAAACGCTTTTCCCGGACCAAATTCAGTCCTTGGGCTGAAAGTGATCCGGGGCCGCCTCTAACCCGCACCGAATTGCTCGCCCTGCCAATCCGTTCCCCACCCCTTTCTCTCACCTCCGGCCAACTCGCTCCCAAACACCACCGCCTTGGCCTGGGAGATGCCGATGCAGTGCGCCAGGGACTCCTGCCGGACGTTGGAGTTCAGCAGGGCCGCCTCCACGCCGATCTTGGCCATGCCGAGCCAGAGGCCGACGTACTGATTGCGTGATTCCATGAACAGGGCCATCACGTCCCCGGAGCGGAAGCCCTCCTCGTGCAGGAAGTTGGCCACCCGGTTGGAGTAATCGTCCAGCTCTTGGAAAGTCCATTTCTCGCCCGTGCCCTGGAAAATGAGGGCGACCTTCTCGGGGTGCCTGAGCACCGTTTGCTGGAAGAGCTGCGGGATGGTGTACCTCTTCCTCACGTACCACCAGATCCTCAGCCGCGTCAGGGCCACCATGCTGCCGGTCCTGGAAAGGGAACAGGGCAGGTGTAAGAAGGGGCGTGATTTCAGCCAGGCTGGGGTGGGGATGCAGAGGACGTCTTCATTTGCAAGGGTGTTCCGGTACATGCCTGTGTCACGTCTGTGTGAGATCCGCGATTCATGTACGGCCGCTCTGGCGTACTGGTGAGAGCGCTGAACTGCGGCTCGGGAGAGCCAAGTCCTCATCCCCACTCAGCCATGGAGCTCTTTGGGTGACTTTGGCCGGGTCACTCACTCTCTGCCTGAACTACCCCGCAGGGTTGGTGTTGTGAGGATCACATGGAGCCGGATAAGCCGCCTGGGCTCTTCGCAAGAGGAAGAAAGCTGGGATAGACATGCGATGTGATCACATGTTTTTAATTATATCCCACCTTCCGACTGCAAGGAGCCCAAGGTGGCACAGGCATGCCTCCCCCTTTCATCCTCAACAACAAACCTGTGAGGTTGGTCGGGTGAGAGTGAGGGACTGGCCCCAAGTCAGCCAGTGAGTTCCACACTCAGGACAAGAGCGCACGAGTCCCAGTCCAGGACCAAGCATGACCAGGACCTCAGTCCTTCATTTAATGCTTTCATTGAATCCCCAGTGGCAGAATCCAGACACAAGTCTTGCAAAACACACATCCCGAGAACCATGACGACTCCTGGTTCCGGCACTCTCTTTGGGCCCTGTGCTTTTTATCCACAAATCCGCCTTCCACATCCTGGAGGCCTCCGAGGACGGGGGAAAGGCAGTCGGCACAGTGCTCAGAGAGCAGTGGCCACGATCCGGCAGCTTTTGTCTGTGCTGCTTGAACCCGGGGCCGGCACATGTGCTTGTGACGCCGTGCTAATGAGTCCAAGGGAGGCTGGCAGGGCCGCCTCTCCCTATCAGGTACGCCCTGAAAGGTGCCCCAGATTATATTTCCATACGTGTGCATGTGAGCAGGTTTCTTCCTCCAGAACCCGTTCTGCCTGAAAAGAGGCAGCTTCTTGGCACGAGATGAAGCGAGCTGTTTGCTGAAATCTGATCTGGAGCTCTGGGAACTCTGACTGCAAATCTGGCGGCCGCATCCAAAGTCCAACGTGCATCCTGGCACGGAGCGTGGCCACCAGGGAGGGGCAGGCCCTCGGCTCTGCACTTCTCGGTGGGCAAAATCCTGCTCCGTGCAGGAACGGGGACGCCTTCCTGTTGCGCTCCAGTCTGCACAGAGCCCAGCAAGCCGTTGTGGATGGCGCCGTAGCTGAGAGGCCGTGGCTCTTTCCCAAGGGGAATGACATGAGAATTAAACTTTGGGTTGCAAAACATGCAAAGATGCGCAACCCCGTGGGTGAGTAGGAAAGCGTCCTCTGAAAACGTTTGCAAATGCTAGAATGTGAGCCTGTTTACTTAAATACATCCACTCTTCCTTCTGCAAAAGCTCAAAAGTGCAGTTGCATGTTTTAATCTACGGTGGGATACCCGGATGTTTTTTGTACAATGTCTCCTTGCTTATTTTGCGGTTTTCCTGTCTGTGCAAACAAATGACAGCTACATACACAAACGCAAATGGAGGAGAGCTTCCAAGGTGAATGAACTCCACCTCCCAGCAGCCCTGATCAGCATAATAAATAATCTGGGGTGATAGGAGTTGGAGTCCAACAGCATCTGCTCTTCCTCCACCAAGGAGGGAACTCGGGGAAAGCCAGGGGAGTGTTTAGAACGGAAGACAGAATTAAGGCACGTGCGTTTTCTGAAGGTCTCGTCCGCCACCTTCTCCTCACATCCTTGGAAATAAATTTGGGGAGGGTTACTTCTCAGGAGAAACAGCTCAGCTTGTGCTGCTCCAGCAGCAGTAAAACTGACGATGTGAGATTTTCTCCTTCTAAACCTCTGGAAACAGACTTTCAAATAAAAAAAGCCTTGGAGTTGCAAGCAGAAACAGGGCATTCAATTGCATTCATAATTTCCCTGGAAATGCTTCCAGTGAGCAACGTATGTCTCCTTCCCCCACATGAGCCTTTCCTGATAAGGTGGCCTCCAAAGGTTTTGGATTGCAAGCCCCATCAGCCCCAGCCAGCCGTGGCAGGTTCTGGGGTGCAGCCCAATGCAGTGACTGCTGGACAAAGGTAGGTTTCTTGTTTGTGCCTTCAGGGGGAGAAAGTCCCTTGTTCTGTGTGCCAGGGATTTACAAAATGCCCTGCCGTTGCTTCCTTGAGAAGGGATGAGGAGAAGTGGCTGGACAATTGCTAGTTTGGGGCTGCAGCCCCCCGTTAAGGAGGGGAGATGCTCTCCTGCGGTCAGGCTGTTTGTTCATTTCATCCTGGTTGCCTGCTCTGGCCTGCGATGGCTCCGTAGCATCTCAAGCAAAGGGTGCTGTCACATCACTTCACAGGAGCTTTCTTACTGGAGATACTGGGAAACAAAACTGGACCCTTCCCCAGCCAGGGGTCCTCCAGTCTGAGCTACGGCCCCACGGACAACCTCTGGCTTTCCGCGCAGGAGCCTGCCTTCCGCAGCCAAGAAGGAAGCCCCTGTGCTTTGTTTTGCAAAGAATCCACCCCAAAACGGACGCATGAGAACCATTCCGGTAAAACCCACAAGGGCGTCCGGCAGAGCAGGGAAAGGGAGAGAGACTTCCCCCAGCACGTGCGACTTACGTGAGATCCCGCCTGATCGTCTTGACAAAGATCCGAAGGAATTTCCACCCACCGGACCCCAAGTAGAATATCAAGAGGGCTGGGGCGACCTGGACCCACGGCAGGTCCAGCAATAACCGGAAGACCACGAAGAGCAGCAGGAGAGCCAGGAAGCGATGCCTGTTGGCCTGCGGGAAGAGACGGCGAAGTGAAGCGCCCCAGCGGAGCCGCGCTTGGCGGGGCCGAGGGCCCGTCGGCGCCGACCTTCCCGTCCACACAGTTGCCACCTTGCTGTCCGTGGCAAACACACAAGCAGGGCACGAATGCAGCAGCACTCTCCCACCCATGTTCCCCAGCAACTGGTGCACATGGAGCCACTGCCTCTGATATCAGAGGCATCACAGCCGGTTGCCGGTCCGAGCCTTTTCCTCCAGGAATCTCTCCCGTCCCCAGAGGGGTGGCCACTGCGGAAGAGGTCAGCTTCGGCAAAGCGCCTCCCTAGAGCCCTCGCCCCGGGAAGGTCTTCTGTGGGACGGGCACACATTGCCCCACCTTTGCTAGACTGCAAAAGGGGGCTTTAAAAGGAAATAAACCGAAGAAACAGCCAAGTTAGGCTTACCATATTGTCCCGGCCGATTTGCCCCTTATCCCAGGCAGCCTTCGCCTTTCCCAGCGCCTCCCCACCGCTTGGCTTCTCTTTCTCCAAACAGAGCAAAGGAGGTTAGGACCATAACCTGGAGAGCAGTGAGATAAAACCAATCTGATAAGGAGGAGTCCAAGGGCGATCCTTGATCGCTGGTTCTTATCCGGGCCTATGGGGTCCTGGCAGGTCGTCCACACCCACACGGGCGAGGGGTGCGGTGTGGGTTCAGCTCCCTTCCCTCGAGCATGTGCCGGGTGCGCTTGCAAAACTTTGCAGGCTAATCCGGCCGGCTGCAGCACCATCAGGGCACGCTGGCTAATCCCATCATTAACGGCACAGATGCAACCTTCGTTGCGTTAGCCAAGCACAGGTAAGGCTTTCCTTTCAGCTCTCGCCTGCTTGGCATTCTCAGTTTCGTTTGTCCATTGCCGGTACCTCCCTTGGGGGCGTCTGGCTGCTAGAACGGCACCGGCACCGGGAGGGCCAGGCTGAGGAGCATCACAGCCCCCGTACTTTTCTCCTTCCCAAGTGATTCTTGAGAAAAAATAAATGCAAAACTGGCTGCGAAACAACGTGTTGCTGAAGACGGGATGTTGAAATAAAACTTGCCATCCTGCTGGCATACGCCAACCTGGCCTCTCCCAGCGCCTGCGGGTGATGGAGCGCCGGCTGGATGCCCACGTCAGGAACGCAATTGGCATAAGGTCCCCCGCGTGCGCCAGCAAGCTCACCGGGTGCCTTTGGCCCAATCACTGACTCTCAGCCTAGCCTACCTCATAGGGTTGTTGTGAGGATAAAGCGGAGGAGAGGAAGAAAATGAAGTTAAGGCCTTGGATGAGGAAAAAGCCAAATATAACTACAAAGCAATAAAACAGATGGCATAGAAAAAGCCCTGTGGAAGATTGACTGGCGGAGGGCAGCTGGGCACCGAACCCAGCCGGGAGGGCATCTTGTGTGCTGTGTCGTAGCGGTACCAGGGCTCCCAAGGACCCCGCGAGAGCCATCTTTCACTGAGAGGGACTACCTGCCATCTGCTCCCTCTGAGCTCACACCAGCACCTAAGTGCACCAGGTGCTGGGGAACCTGGGTAGGAAGGTACTGTTGCACACCTGACCCACTCGAGGATGTCCCAGGGCCACAGGGAACCAGATGGGCCTGCTAAGCTCTCGAGGTTCGGATTCTGGGAGCAGCACCAGACCAAAGGAGTCCTTTCCTTGACCTGCCCCGAATTTCCACCCATCCGTGCCAAGGGGGACCCCTCCAGGCTCTAGTGTTATGGGAGAGGGCGAAAAAACGCCTCCCATCAGCCACAGCTCTTCATCCATCTGCCACACAGCCCGTTCTCTAAGGCAGAAGCTCCAGGCGGCAGTTTAGGGGCTATCTCGTGGCAGCGGGGGGGGGGGGTGGATTTTCCAGCAACCAAATTATGCTTTCCTGTAATAATGCAAAGCGTTTCAGGGTGGTTTGCACTCGGGAGCTCTTAAAGCACTGCTTCCAGCGGAGAGGAAAATCGCTCTAAGCGGTTTGTTGGCACGCAACCAAACAGCCGCCTGCTTTTTTGGACTTTCTCTGGGGACACGGAGAGAGGAACTGTTGTGCGCTTGCCGTGGGATGTGCCGGCCCATGAACGCCCCCCACCCCCAAATATGCCCTGTTTTTCACAGCCCTGCTCAGCTCTTGCGAACGCGAGGCTTTGTGGAATCGACCCTCGCCACCGCTGGACATCCTCTTGCCAGAGGGCCCCGCTTTGCACGCGCGCCCCGGTGCGCCATGTGCTGGGGTTGCGAAACGGCTGTTGGTGCGCCAGCCCTCGCAGCCGCAGCTACTGCCGCAGGAGCGCCGGCTCGCACTCGCCGTTTCCCTCGGCCGCGACGTGACCAGGCAAAAAGGAGGCTGGAGGGTCAGTGGGCAGGCCGTGGGAAGCTCCCCCTAGGACTCTGCAGTTCGCAGGTTCGCACCACACCGAGGCCGTTTGGAGAAAGCCGATCGCTGCGGCCGGGGGCTTGGATCGATCCACAGCTGCTCAGGCGAAGCGGCCGAGAAGACCCCTTGGGCTGCAAGGAAGCCGCCAGCCAGCCTTTTCTTCTCTCTCGACTCTACATCTCAGCTGTGCTTTCTTCTGAAGTATTTTTAGCCTCAAGGAGGGGAAGGCTAGCAACTTAGCAGCCTGGGAGCTGCTCTTGCCCGTGAAGTCAGAATCCAGCTGCCTTCACGGAACTGCACCAGGGGGCACGGGGGGCGCAGCTGCAGCTGCCTGGCCCTCATGAGCTCTCTGGCAGTTCCCTCCAGTAAGAGCTCCAAGGGGCGTACACCACACTGCAGAAAAGCCCCCCGTGCCACCCCACTGCCCATTCAATGGTCGCTCTGGAGAGCGCGCGGCCTTCTTGGTGGTGGCTCCCACTGGTGGAACGCTGTCCCAGTGAGGTCCGACCAGGACCATCCTTGTCAGCTTCCCAGCACCCCTGACTTTCACAGACTACCTTCCTGTAGGTCACCTTCTCCATCTCTGCGATTCCTGATGCACAACCCTAGAAAACCATCTGCCTTCCGTCCCACCGCCACCCACATCCAGCTCTCCGGGATTTCTGCTGAAGCTTCCCGAACGGGGGCAGCCGCTTCTCCCATCTGTCCCAGGGATGGGGGGGGGGGCACTTCCGGGCTTCCCCGCCCGATGCCTTCCAGATGTTTTGAACAAGGAATCCTCAACTATTGCTCATAGCAAATGCAACTGAATAACCAGAGCTGCATAGTAGCGGCCCAGGACAACACGCAATATTAAAACTAAAGTTTAAAAAGTTAAACTATTGCAATGCTGGAAAAATAAGAAAGTTTTCACCAGGCACTGAAAGCCAGTGCACCTTTCTGGGGAGCTCATCCCGTAATGGGGGGCCACAACTGAGCAGTTCCTTCTCCTGGGAGCCACTCACCTCCCTTCCTTTGGAGGGGGCTCCCAGAGAAGGCCCCCCAAAGATGACCTTAGGGTCCAGGTAGGTGCATTTGGAAAGGGGCCTTTGTTCAGGTGACCTGGCCCTGAGCTGTTTAGGACTCTGAATGTTAAGAATGGCGAGGATGAAAGGGTTATAAAGCCCACCTGAGCCAGGATGTACACGAACTCTCTAATTTCTGCAGCACAGAAACAGAATAAAAATTGTAATACGAGCAACAGAAATGCAGAAATAGAATAAAAAGTAAAAACGTAATTTCAAATAAATAAAATAATAAAAACAATGATAAGGAGCAAAGAAATCTAATAAAACTATAAATATACCAATAGCATGAAAGGGCTATACACTGAATATGCCGAAGGGCTTGCTGTGTTAGCTTGTTGCGGAAAAAGCAAATGGGAGAATCATGGGGCGCTGGACTGCCGGCACATTTTCACTGCGCCGTTGTGGGCCGTGCTCCACTCTGTCAGATGCTTCCATCCATGCATCCGATGGGGCGGGCAGCCGTCCACGGGCGCGCATGCCAAAGACGCGCATCCGTCATGAACGGGCCACAGCAGACGCTTTGTTGCTGCGGAAAGCGGCCGCCTTGAGCCCCTCCGGGCAGAACAAAGCACCCATTCAAGCTGCCACGAGTGATGTCACCAGAAAAGGCATCGCGGTGGCTATTTCTCGAGCCCGGCAGCACCTTCCTCCTGAAATGCAATATGCCAACGCACGGCCCCCAGCAACTGTGCAGAGCTCACCGCAGGGCGAGGCCTGGGCTCGGTGCTGCAGCCCCTGCTTTGGGCCCAAGGTCCCCGGTTCAAGTCCTGTGCTCTCCAGGCCGAGCTGCGGAAACCTGTTGGAGTGCCTGGGGAGCCGTTCCTGCCAGCTGGTGCTGCCATTACTGCCTGGAAGGCCAATGGTCCGAGCTGATATACGGTTCAAGAAAGCTTTGCCACTATATATAACATTAATATTTTATTTTTGGGTTATTTTAGGCCAGCTTGTTTTCCCTCCACCCCTCCTCTCCATTTTAGCCTCACAACAATCCTGTGAAGTCGGCCAGGTTGCGAGTCAGGGATGGGCCACCCGGTCAGTTGCATGGCTCAGTGGGGAGTAGATCCTAGATCTCTGGAATACCAGCCCTACACTCTAACCACTGCACCAGACTGTCTCTTCGTGAGAATTTAATTCTAGGTCAACCTGCCCATGGGCAGTTCTATTGAGCTTCTCAGCTTTGAATTTACAGCACACTTTGAGCGACCAGATTCAGTGAAATTTGTGGTTGTGACATGCCGTCACGGAGTCTCTGACTTATGGCGACCCCATGAAAGCATCTTCTCCGGACATCGTCTCCTTGCCAGCCCTGCTCGGGAGGCTGCCCATCTCCTCTCGGGTCCTGCCGTCTTCTTCTGCCTTTGACTTTCCCAGCCCAACCACCCTCCTTCTGCAATGGTGTTGTCTTCTCGTGATGTGCCACATATGAAGCCAGCCAAGGGACCGGAGAGAACAATTCCGGTCGCCAAGGTCCAAGCTCCCCACGAGGAAGGCCATCAGCTGGTCATCACAGCATGATGCGGTTTCTTCACTCCATTACGGATGTGTCAGCCTTTATTCCTCCAGTTCCTGCAGTCTCTGAGCAGCTAATGAGCGCACAGAGCCCTTGTCTCCTTCCACAGGTACCTGCCCAAGCCCTGCGATCACTCCCAGACTCACCCCTCTCCAGGTAGCCCTGCCAGTGAGTGAAGCAGAGGTCTGTGATGAACGGGGCCTTTTCCCTGGTGGCCCCTGCACTGTGGAATCCCCTCCACAGAGAGGCCTGTTGAGTGCCTACGTTGTGCCTTTTTTTCACTACCGGGTGAGGAGCTTTTCATTTCCCTAGGTTTTTCAGCTCTTCTGTTTTACCAATTGTGCAAGTCTACTTTTAGATCTCTGCATTTCTGCTGCCTTTTATTTTCATCTTTCCTTTGATTTTATACTTGTGCTGGTGGTTACTATTATTAGAATAATAAAAATAGCCCAATTTCTCTGAATGGCTCCCAGAAGTTCACAGAAATGCAGAGCACAGATGCAATCAAATGCCACATTCTTTTTCAACAGAGAACATTTAAAAACAGTTCAACCGCTAAAACCATTTCAGTACAAGCCGAAACAACCGGCAAACAATGCCACATCGTCGTGACATTAAATACCTGGGAAAAGCAGGCAATATTAATCTGGTGCCAAAAAGACAGAGTTGGTGCTAGATGAAACTCCTGTGAAGGGCTCATTCTTAACGAGAAGGGGGCCGCCTTTAAGAAGCCCCTACCCTTTGTAATATTTTGCAGGCAGATATATTATCTGTTACTATGCTACTGCATTTCATGATTTTGTTTCTGGGAGCTGCCCAGACAATGTTGACGAGCGGCCAAAATCAAACTGCAGTAAATAAAGAAATAACCATGCGAGCTGGAGCTGATGGGAGTTGAATTCCTAACCAGCCGGAGGATGACAAGCTTTCTTTCACTGCATCTACTCTGTGGAGACACCCTCCAAAATCAGAGAGAGGGTTTTTCCCAGCCAAGCTATCTGACACGACCGAGTGTCTGTCTGTCTGTCTGTCTGTCTTTCTCTTTCCTTCCTTCCTTCCTTCCTTCCTTCCTTCCTTCCTTCCTTCGCAAACTTATATGCCGCCCCATTCGTCTAAGCCTTGGGGCGGCTTACAAATAAATAAATGTAATTAATACAATAAAATACAGATGGAGACAACCTGGCCAAAGTTGTTAAAATCAATGAATCAACGATTAAAATAACATTTGAATAAAAAGGCCTTGGCCTGGCGCTGAAAAGCAAATAACGACGGCGCCAGGCGGACCTCTCTGGGGAGCGCATTCCATAAGTGGGGCGCCACCGCAGAGAAGGCCCTCCTCCGGGTACTCACCCTCCTAATATCCTTCACGGAGGGTTCCTGGAGAAGGGCCTCTGCCACAGATCTCAGGGGGCGGGGGGGCATATATGGACGCAGGCTTTCCTTTAGGTATCCAGGTCCCAAGCCGTTAAGGGCTCTGTAGGTGATAACCAGCACCTTGAATTGGGCCCGGACTTCAATGGGGAGCCAGTGAAGCTGACGGAGGAGTCTTTTGCCTTACTCCCAGCTTTAAATCCAGCAACACCACGGATTCCCGTTCTCTCCCGTTCCACCCCCAGGAAACGCCATGATTCCCTTTATCGCCATTGTCACCACCCACCAAGACGCACTGTCTAAATGGCAACGCCGCTGAGCCAAATCCACTCCTCCCCCCGCCCCCGGGCAGCCACGGATGCCAGGTAGGTGAAAGGTGTGGCCCGCAAAACACACCCACACGGAGGGGACTCTGGCCCCATCTGCCCTGACCCCCCTTCCAGGCGGGACAAGAGCCTTCCCTCTCTTAGCCGCTCCACAGAGTCCTGCTGAGACTCAAGCCACCAGAAAAGCAAGGACGCTCAGCATTCTTATGAAGGCTCATTTTCTGGCCGCTCTCAGCTATGAAAGAAGAGCCTCTATTCCTTTGCAGCTTTCTGAAGGGGGAAAAAACTAGCACTGACAATCATTGGGGCAGGGAGTTAAAAACAGGGGGTTAATTTTACACCCAGAGGAAGCCTCCCCCAGTCTCCGTGTTTCCTGTTGCATTATTTTTTTTTCAAGCCAGCTGCACTACTTGGAATTCTTCCTTGCCTTCAAAATAAAACACCATCCCTTAGAAGGAACCTTAAAGCTGGAGAGGGGCTGTTTTAGTGATGCAAAAGCACAGTAGATCTGTCATCTCTCCTCCCTTTCTCTTTTTCCTTCCCAGGATCCTGGGGGCTGGGGTACATTTTCTATACTCCAGCCTCGCCTGGTTTTTATTATTTATTTATTAAAACATCTGGAGGGCATCAGGTTGGGGGAGCTGCTCTGGCGGCATGGTCTGCAGCAGAATGACGGAGCAGCTGGGCTCCCAGTCCCCTGCCCCAAACCCACAGCGACACTCACGAACCCTCCGGAAAGGGAAAGCGGGAGGGGGCGTGCAGTCCGAGCAGCTCCCAGGACGATGCTCCAGCTGTGGTGGGATGCAGGCTTCGGGCAGGGACACAGGGTCTCTTGCAGCTGCAATCTGGCCTGTGTTGTTTTCCTGGAAACGAGTCAGTCCCATCGAACTGAATGGGGAGTGCTCGTGAGCCGGCCTCTTGCAGAGGGCTGTGTTGCAAGCTACGGGGTGTGTGTGTGTGTTGCACACAATTCTATGCTGGCGCAGTGTTAAGGGACAGCCCAGGAGGACTGGAGCCCCAGACCTTTCCCTGGAAGCGCCAAAGCCCCGGAAGGCTGTTTCCCTGTCCACAGGCACTTGCGGAAACGTTTGGGCAAGAGGCGCTGAGCCTCTCCGCTGCATCCGTTCCCACTGAATTCGCTGGGTTGCCGCACACATCTGCTTCCCCTCCTGCGACCCCCGACCGTCCAATCTTTCTTCCTGGGGGACCCCCCCCCCACGCCATGCAATGCCTTCCTCTCCCCTGCGCACATGGGTGCTTCTTACAGATGGGGGGCACCCTTAAGGAGATGGGATGCTTCCCCGACTCCGGAGCACAGGAAATCAGCGTGCGCAAACGGACGCGATTTTTTCGTCCTGGCGTCCGGGGCGCAGATCATTTCGGCGCGGGCACCCCCCGCCTTCCACGCGCGCCCGCGCGCACCGTGGGGATCAACCGTCGGGAGCTCCGGCCCCCGGGCGGCGGAGGAACAATGCAGCGCTCATCGCCGGCATGTGACGCGCGCGGGGGAGAGCCGACCGAGCGCGGCAGGCGCCGGGGGCCTGGCCTGCGGGTCCCCCCCTCCAGCCAGCGCAGCCCAGCCGCGCACGAGCCGCGCGCCCTGCCTGCGGGCGCGGCGCGCAACCCTGCGCCCCGGGACC